CCTCGCTTCTGACCTCAGTTGAAATGTCTGCTGTGGTTCCACATTTTAAAAGTTGCTATCTTTAGGACTTAGATATAAACATTTTATATATTTTACCTTAGATCATAACTTTCACCATCTAAAACATTGGCTTTTTTTGTTGTTTTTGTTTAGCTTCCAGAAAAGCGTCCCACATTTCAGCAACTCCTGTGTTCCATTGAACCACTTCGGGAAAAAGACAAGCCTTGAAGAAGATATTAGGAGTGCTGATAAGAATGAATATAGATGTTGGCCACCATTTTCGTTCATTTTAAGGGAAGTAGCAAAGCATAGTGTAATTTAGCTAGTTTTTAATAGTGGTCTCTTTATTGTCTATTGCTTAGAAATGAACAAGGCAGGAAACAAAAGATTTCCTTGAAATTTCGATCAAATTAGTAATTTTGTTGATGCTGCTCCTGATATAACACTTTCCAGCCTATGCAGAAGCACATTTTCAGATTGCAATATAGAGACTGTGTTCATGTGTAAAAACTGAGCGGAATTGAAAAATTACTTCTTGGACATTCATTCTTTTCTTTATATTGTCACTGTCACAAGAATTAAATATACTACCAAGAACAGAAATGTGGACATTTGCCTTCATATTTCAATGTTCTCAAACTTTAGTATGCATGATAATCAAATGTAGAGTTTATGAAAACAGATTCCTAGAAACCACCTCCACAAAACCTGGCGGAGAAGGTCTGAGCGCAGCCTGTGAATTTGTACTGTTAGCAAACTCCCAGACGTTACTGAAGCAGTTGTTCTGAACTGTCCTAGGGGACCCCAGTACATGGTGGGGTATCATTAGGTGGTCCATTATTCAATCTAAATGGCACAATTCTCATTTAATATCCAGATTAGTACAATGACTCTGTACGTCATGTATAAAATATAAAACTAAAGTTAAATAATATTAATAAATAATGTATTAAATATGTTTCACATAAAGCAAATTTTTAAGATACTAAAGTACAACTTTTAGAATTATTTATTGCTTTCTAATCATCTTAAATCCTTGAGTTTGGGGATCTGGGGCTTCTGGCTAGTTTGATAACTGAAGTTTGTATTTCAGTCTGCTATCTTAACACAAAAATGCAGAAGTACTATTTTAGCTTCTCATGACTATTTCATAGTATTACAGCTTTAAAACTGTACCTGGGAATGCCCTTCCTCACGGCCTGCTACTGAACCACAGGTTTTAAGCTCTTTCTGCGTATTCCATTGTCTTTCTATAATGTTAAGAAGAGAGAGACAGAGATTCTGTAGAGGGCACCATTACAATGAAGAAACACCCCAATTCAACCATGCTGCTATCTTCCAGAGATGAGTCAATCATCTCCTCTCAGAGACGTTCATATCCTCTCTCATCCCACTCTATCCTTCAGCCACCAGCTAGTTTCAATGCCCTCTCTCTTGCTTATTTCTTTCTTGACATTTCGTTAATAATTCCTTCATTTCAACAGATAATTCACACTTGTTAACAGTCTTCTATTTTTTACAGAGGTACACAAATCTCAATTTATAATGAACTGTAACTCAAAATAATCACAGGGCATTTGTATATTTTATTTTTGTAGTTTTTTTTTTTTTTTTTTTTTTTAGTGTTGACTGCATGCTAGGTTCTTTCCTACCCAAGAGAAAAGAAAGAACAGGTGACCCAAACTCTATTTCTCAATGGACCCAGAGTCCGATGGGGGTGCCAGCTTTTCCTGAACCCCACTCCGAGGATGAGCTCATATACAAGCTGGGTCTTTCTGGTCTCCCTCTTGAAGATTTTTTTCCTTTCTTCTTATTTTTGTATACTTACTGTTTTAAAAAATCCTCTTTATAACAAAATACATACTTGTTGCAAAAATTCAAACAATACAGAATTGTTTACTATGAAAAGAAGACAAAGCACTGCTTAGAAGCCCAGCTGCAAAAATCAAGTCAGGCAACAACTTAAGGTACCACTAGAGGTTTATCAGAAAGCAAGTCCAGTGATGCTAGGAGGAGCCAAATAAAAGAACACTATTAATAGTATTTCTTTTCTTTTTTTTTTTTTTTTTTTTTTTTTGGAGATGGAGTCTTGCTCTGTCACCCAGGTTGGAGTGCTATGGCGCAATCTTAGCTCAGTGCAACCTCTGCCTCCTGGGTTCCAGCTATTCTCCTGCCTCAACCTACTGAGTAGCTGGGACTATATATGCCCACCACACCCAGCTAATTTTTGTATTTTTAGTAGAGACAGGGTTTCACCATGTTGGTCAGGCAGGTCTTGAACTCCTGACCTTGTGACATACCCGCCTCGGTCTCCCAAAGTGCTGGAATTACAGGTGTGAGCCCCTGCACCTGTCAGATTTTCATAGTATTTCAAACATGCATAATGATTTTTTTTTTTTTTTTGAGACGGAGTCTGGCTCTGTCGCCCAGGCTGGAGTGCAGTGGCATGATCTCAATTCACTGCAACCTCTGCCTCCCAGGTTCAAGGGATTCTCCTGCCTTAGCCTCCCCAGTAGCTGGGACTACAGATGCATGCTACCACGCTTGGCTAATTTTTTGTATTTTTAGTAGAGATGGGGTTTCACTGTGTTAGCCAGCATGGTCTTGATCTCCTGACCTGGTGATCCACCCAACTCAGCCTCCCAAAGTGCTGGGATTACAGGCATGAGCCATGGCGCCCGCCCACATAATGATTTTTTTTTTAATGCTGAATAACTGTGTTTAGTGGTGATTTACTAAATTCACCATGTTAGCCAGGCTAGTCTGAAACTCCTTACTTCCTAAACAAAAAAGAATTTATTGTTTTTTCTTAAGCAAACACTCTGCCTATACTCTTTTGGCAGTGATGAAAGAGGCAGACAATGTGGTAAGAAACTTTCCCAAAGGGAAGGCTGCAGAACAAGTTCAGATAAATAACTTGCTAGGTAAAATCCAACAAATGCTCTGCAGTCTTGCTGAGTATTTTCCGACCTGCCAGAAGCCAAACAATGTCAAGAGGGTCTGGCCAAATTCACCTCAGATCTACCTGAGTTCATTAAGATACCAACACAGTAGATTTAGCAAGTTGAGTGTCTCAGTTTTTTACTCTATCTTGGGAGTGGGTTTATGAGGAAGAGAGATTGGATCTAAGGCCCCATCTTTATCTAAATGTGTACCGAGGAGGATTTCAAATGAGGAAGAATAGTTCATTGAGAGACACACTACAGAAGAGGAAGCTAGCACCTGCCCTTTTTGGCCTGATCACTATGTTTCTCTGGCTGAGCTCCACAATGGCCTTTTCGCATTTGCAATTTCATTGAATCCTTGCTTCCTTATAGTCCAGGGTTTGGCAGTAAAGGGCTTTATGGGCCATGCTGTCTCTACTTCAACTACTCAGCTCTGCTGTGTAGCATGAAAGCAGCCCTAGACAATATGAAAATGAATGGGTGTGGCTGGGTTCCAATAAAACCTTATTTATGGGCACTGAAATTTGAATTTCATATCATTTTCATTTATCATGAAATCTTTCCTACTTCTAATTAAAAATGTAAAAATCATTCTTAGTTCACAGGCTAGACAAAAACAGGTGGTGGGGTGGCCAAGCGCAGTGAATTGTGCCTGCAGTCCCAGCACTTTGGGAGGCTGAGATGGGCGGATCACCCGAGGTAAGGAGTTTCAGACTAGCCTGGCTAACATGGTGAAATCCCATCTCTACTAAAAAATATAAAAAATTAGCAAGGCATAGTGGTGCAGACCTATAGTCCCAGCTACTCAGGAAGCTGAGGCAGGAGAATCACTTGAACCCAGGAGGTGGAGGTTGCAGTGAGCCGAGATCGTGCCACTGCACTCCAGCCTGGGTGACAGAGCAAGACTCCATCTCAAGACAGAGGATGACTCCATCTTAAAAAAAAAAAAAGATGGTGGTGGGCAGGATTTGGCCAATGAGCCATTGTTTGCCAACTTCTATCCTAGGCCCAGGTACAGATCCCTCTTTGTAGAATCTCCAACCTTTTAGAAGATGCTGCTACACAGGAGAAGAACTACAAGCTTTACCTGGTAGGTACAGTGAGGACTGTTCTGGAGAAAACTCCAAAAATAAGCAGGTTTTTCTTTCTGTGTTACAGTTGGACACTATGTCACATGCACATGGGCCCTTTTTTCCATGTCTGGGGAGGCTCATTTGAAGGCGTTAGATGATGAAATTGGTTCCTGTAGAAACTACTCTTGCACTGTGTTGAACCAAGACAAGGACTGAGAACTTCATGAAGACCATGCGGCCACTGCAAAGGATGTTTAGATACCAGGAGCTTGACAGAAGATTTTCAGTATCTTAGAGAAGATGGGACATAGGCAAGATCAAAGAAAAAACTGTCTATAAAATGGTTGCTTAGCCAAGGAGTAAATTATATTGTATGCTGCCCCAAGCTGTGGGCCCAATGAATGGCAAGATGATGCAGACAGCGATGCAAAATGTTGATTGGATCTCATAAAATAACCCTATCTCTGCTATCTGGGTATCAGATAATTAAGACATCAAAGATCCTCAAATGACCCTTATTTTGAGGCCATTTTATAGATTATGAAAGTCATGCTCTCCTGACCTGGCTAATTGATCCACCATTACCATATAGAATTTATTAAGTACAAAGTCATTCTAACATTATGCTAGTCACCACATGGAATGAGTTGATGGGTAGAGTTTGAATATGTTAATCTATTTAACGTAGTTTTAATCAATCTTTAGGTATGTAGAAAATGTGCTCACACTGGGGTAGGGACTGTGAGAAATATAAAAGAAAAAGCATCAGGTTTGGCTCCTAACGTGATGGTATATACACTGTACACAACTTATTGGGACTAATTTTACAATTGCTTTTTACAATAAAGCAATTTGAGAATTTGCAATATATCCCGAGACATTTGGACGGCCAGAAGGCCCAGACACTCCGATGATAGCTTTGTTCATAGAAGTGAAAAGCAGACAAAATGTGAAGAAGCCCCAGAACATAAGTAAGCATAAGGAGTATATAAATCTAGTATTTATTGAGTCTGCTTTATGCTTAGCACTACTGAAACACTGTGGGCAAATACAAGATTTAAGAGACTGGGTACCCACTTCAGAGGGTGAACCCACAGTTAGAATTTCCATTTACTCCACGGTTAGGAAACAGTGGAAATGAGTTTCTATCAGACTTGCTCCAGGAGTTCATGGAGGCCCCTGGTGCTAGTTTCATGTTGTCAGAGAGATGTTCATCAAGCAGCTTGGAAGTGCAAAAGCAATGTCCTCTACCTGTTCCCTGGATTCTTCTCTCTTCTTTAGACCTGTCACCCTGAAGAAAACATGATCCATTCCAAATATCACTGTAGGCAAATCACCATAGTACTTAGATTAAGTTAATGTGAAGACAGCATGTCATCCTTCACAATGGATTAAATGAAAGTGAACTACTTCATGCTATTCTTAATCCTTGCAGCCGTACCAGTTCCAAGGCACTGTCCTTACAAATGATCCATCCCTATTCCATACAAGGCCCAACACTTGCTCACATGATAGATCCTTGTTTTCAACTTCAGAAATTCAACAGACATTTAAATTTAGATTATCCCTGAACAGCCTGTGAGACCGAACACACACCTTCCCTATTATATTTTAATATAAAATCCTTATTAGGAAACAAAAGAGAAGTCAAATCCAGAGACAGAAATGCATACTGAAAGCCATGTCTATGAAGATGCTCTGTACTTGGCTGTGTTGTCTTTGGACAATTTTTTTCTGAACAGAGTCATAGTTTTGACATTTAATGACATCTTTATCATCTCATATTTTCTATACCGTGAAATTAACACTTACACACAACAAAATCACCTCAAGAAGAAAAACATCAATTTTTCTAAAAGGAGGTCTGAACTTCTTCACTGTTTTGGAATCCTGGATTATCTTCTCCTTTACCAAAATCAATGGAGGCATAAGGATTTTCTTCACTTCTTGCTTCATTTTTCCTGTTAAATAGAGCAAGGTCACCTTAATATAGTGACGTTAAAATCAATTGTGTTGATGAACGTCAGAGGGTTTGAGGGCAGTCTGTGTTAAGGAGGCTGGAGAGGGGGAACAGGAAGTTTCATAAGTTGTTGATGTGAGTATAAACTGGTATAGCCACTATTGAGGGCAATTTGGCAATATTTATCAAAATTAGCCATTACACATATGCTTTGATCCAGCTTACCCACTGCTAAGATTCACCTTATAGATATATTGGCACTCACAGGAAATTAACTATATTAAGCCATCACAATTTTTTAATAAACACAAATATTGGAAATATAAAAGTTCACCAGGCCAGGGACGGTGGCTCATGCCTGTCATCCCAGCACTTTAGGAGGCCAATGTGGGTGGATCACGAGATCAGGAGTTCAAGATCAGCCTGGACAAGATGGTGAAACCCCATCTCTACCAAAAATACAGAAATTAGCTGGGCGCAGTGACAGGTGCCTGTAATCCCAGCTATGCGGGAGGCTGAGGCAGGAGAATTGCTTGAACCCAGGAGGCAGCGGATGCAGTGAGCCAAGATCATGCCACTGCACTCCAGCCTGGGCAACAGAGTAAGACTCTGTCTCAAAAAAAAAAAAAAAAAAGAAAAGAAAAGAAAAAGTTCATCAATAGATGTCTGGTTAACAAAATTACAATCCATCTGTGAAGTGGGAAATTATATTTCCAGAAAAAAGGAAAAGTTCTTTGTGCAACTAATGTGTAATGATCTTTAAAACACGTCAAGTGAACTGGGTGTGGTGGCTCACATCTATATAAATAAAAATTTAAGGACATCTTCAAGGAGAACTACAAACCACTGCTCAAGAAAATAAGAGAGGATACAAACAGACAGAGAAACATTCCATGCTCATGGTTAGGAAGAATCAATATCATGAAAATGGCCATACGGCCCACAGTAATTTATAGATTCAATGCTATCTCCATCAAGCTGCCAATGACCTTCTTCACAGAACTTGAAAAAAACCACCTTAAACTTCATATGGAACCAAAAGAGAGTCCACATAGCCAAGACAATCCTAAGCAAAAAGAACAAAGCCAGACGTATCACGCTACCTGATTTCAAACTATACTATAAGGCTACAGTAATCAAAACAGCATGGTATTGGTACCAAAAGAGAGCTATAGACCAATGGAACAGAACAGAGGCCCTGGAGGCAATGCCACACATCTACAACCATCCAATCTTTGACAAACCTGACAAAAACAAGCAATGGGGAAAGGATTCCCTGTTTAATAAATGGTGTTGGGAAAACTGGCTAGCCATGTGCAGAAAGCAGAAACTGGATCTCTTCCTGACACCTTACACTAAAATTAACTTCAGATGGAATAAAGATTTAAACATAAGACCTAACACCATAAGAACCCTAGAAGAAAACCTAGGCAAAACCATTCAGGACATAGGCATAGGCAAGGACTTTATGGCTAAAACACCAAAAGCAATGGCAACAAAGCCAAAATAGACAAATGGGATCTAATTAAACTCCAGAGCTTCTGTACAGCAAAAGAAACAATCATTAGAGTGAACCGGCAACCAACAGAATGGGAAAAAAATTTTGCAATCTACTCATCTGACAAAGGGCTAATATCCAGAATCTACAAAGAACTAAAACAGATTTACAAGAAAAAAAAAAACCCATCCAAAAAGTGGGAGAAGGATATGAACAGACACTTTTCAAAAGAAGACATATATGAGGCCAAAAAATATATGAAAAAATGCTCATTGTCAGTGATTATTAGAGAAATGCAAATCAAAACCACACTGAGATACCACCTCATGCCAGTTAGAATGGCGATCATTAAAAAGTCTGGAAACAACAGATACTGGAGAGGATGTGGAGAAATAGAAACACTTTTACACTGTTGGTGGGAGTGTAAACTAGTTCAACCATTGTGGAAGACAGTGTGGCGATTCCTCAAGGATCTAGAAATAGAAATTCCATTTGATGCAGCAATCCCATTACTGGGTATATACCCAAAGGATTATAAATTGTTCTATTATAAAGACACATGCACATGCATGTTCATTGCTGTACTTTCTACAATAGCAATTGAAGCTATTTTGGGGAACTGAAAATCTTTATAGTGAAGAAAATTGAACAAAACAGACTAGCACATATCAAGATTCAATCAAGAATATGTTTAAATAACCTGAGGTATACATAGAGTTTTGTTAGGTGCTATAAAATATTAACCTTCATTTCATAAGCCCAGCAAGAGTCAATTTCTAAAGGTCAGAAGTGAAATAGCTAATAGCAAAGAAAACTAAAAATCGGGTCTCTAATAATTTAAATCCTCAATGAACTTTGATCTTCAGTTCAAGAAGAAATTGGAGCGTGCCTGACCATGAACTAAGCAAATGATACAGAGTCTGAGCTACCCCATGAGAAATAAAGGTGAGTAAAGAGTAGCAGTTTGGGCAGGCCACGGTGGCTCATGCCTTTCCCAGCACTGGGAGGCCGAGGCAGGCAGATTGCTTGAGCTCAGGAGTTCAAGAACAGCCTGGGCAACATGACGAAACCCTGTCTCCACAAAAAATACAAAAATTAGCTGCATGTAGTGGCATACCCCTGTAGTCCCAGCTACTCAGGACACTGAGATGGGACAATCACTTGAGCCTGGGAGATCAAGACTGCAGTGAACTATGATTGCACCACTGCACTCCAGCCTGGGTGACAGAGCAAGACCCTGTCTCAAAAAAAAAAAAAAAAAAAAACCGAGAGGAGCAGTTTGAAAGAAATCTCAGAGCCCATTCTTGAACAATTTCACAGTTCAAACCCATGAGCAATCCAGTCTCCAGGGTCACTTTTAGACTGAAAAGGATTCAGCAGTGAGAACAATTCCCTGAGCCCACCCATAGCTGCTGAGTTTGCAGTGCCTCTTTGTAGGAGGGAAATGACACTGTGGCTGGGATGGAGTGTACTAGGGCAAGCTAATAAATCCCAGACCAGATACTTACTGTGTGGGCTTGCTAGGAAGGTGAACTGCTGATGACATCTAGTAAATTGCTAGGAAATTCATCAGAGTTTTTAGGTGCAAAATTGTCCAGCTAAGTGATTGGCCTATACAATCTACCACTTACTGAAAATTTTCCAGTCACTCTTCTCTAAATCTTTCTGTTTATGGATAGTCTAGGAAAGGCCACTTACTTCTTTCGATCTCTGATCCCAGTGATGATCAAGATGACAATGCCAACCACTACCATTCCCATCACGACTCCAAAAACAATCAGCCATATGGTAATGGGGGGCTGGTAAGGAGGTTCAAGTGTTGGTTGTATCCCCAGAAACTCCAGGCTGTTGTCATTCAGACCGAAAGCATCATTGATTCGGCTCCGGGACATACTATTTGCAAAAGCAAAACACAGCAAACGGGCCACTTAGACAACATAAAATTGTGTGTAGTTATTTACTCTTTATATCATTGGTCCTGAAAGGTTTTAACAGAGCTTATCATAAGAATATACACATAAAATCATAATGAGAGCAAAGCAAATAAGATCCAATTAAAGATAAAAATTTTTGACAAGTATGCATCTTTCATGCCTTGCAACCTACATTAGGTTTATCAATTGCTTCACTGGAAATTTTGGTTGGCATTTATTCATTTGTGACTACTGTGTTTAAGAGCAGAGTTAGCATTTTTGGCAAGAATTTTCCTTTTGTCAGAGTATATCTACAATAACTTTATATCAAATAATGGGAACGGATCATTAGATACACCTCTTCTATTATACAAGTGAATCAAGTCTCTATCATACTATTTTCCAAATAAAAGGTGTTGGCATTCAAAGGTAGCACTGGAGAGACATAAGAAAGGGACCTTTGCCAATTTCTTCAGCAGTGGGATGGAAATGGCTGACTTTTATGGAGGCAAAAGGACAAAGATTGTTTAAAAAAAAAAAAACAGTGATATGGAGAACATTCTGGATCAAAGACCAAAGTGTCTGGCATGTCATCTTCCTACCCTTGGATACAGCCCAGGTCAGAAGGTCAGAGTCCACCAGAGAGGGAGAGAAGTCAACGCAGAATTAGTCAGATAACCCCTGGCAACCTCAGCCTGAAAAGGGTTATCCTGGAAACAGAATTTGAGGTCCCCTGTAGTTTGCAGCTGGTTATCCAGGAAGGCTGAGCATTTTCATAAAGATCTCAGCTAGAAGTTTTCCCTAAGCCTTAAGTTTTCTGGAGGCAGTAAGTGAGTCTCTAGCACAGCTGGGTCATCCACCCCAACCAAGCCAGATTTTACAGGCACACCCTGCCCAGCAGGTCTTAGATCTGCTCCAAAGATAAACAGGACTCTGATGCAGCTCGAGAGGGCCACCTAGTGAGTTGCCCAGAAGCAGTAGGTATATTAAGCCTTTTTATGATGACAGGAAAACTACAACGTTGGTCCATTCTTTACTCCTGCTGTCTGTTGTGGGAAACAATTGAGGCAAATTGGACAAACTGTTTCTTCTAAACATTCATTGCAAGTCCCTCACCTAGCATAGAGGCCAAGCAATATCTAAGGAATCCTGTGATTGCCTACCTTGTTTCAGGCTTTAGGCAATTAAACAAATCCTACATCAAAGTCCCTAGAACAAATGATGGCAATACCTGTCCATATCGCTTCTGTACTTACTATTTTCCATAAGTTCTAGCCAGACCTTCTTCAGCCAGCACCTGCTTCCCTTTGCCTGAGAGCATTCTCGGAACGCAAGATCTGCCCTACCTGCAGGGCTGAAATGCTGGGGAACTAATGCCACCTGGAAGCAGTTATCAGCTAATGACTGATAGAAACTGGTAAATAAATACCCCAGCTCCTTCAATCCTCTGATGGGACAATTCAGGTGCACATTCTACATAGTCTCTCCAGATTTCCTAGCACGACTGAAATCTAGTTGCCCATAGTGGTAACTTGCTTGATAACATGTAATCTATAGTCTTCCTTCCATTCTGTAAGGGCCTACATCTGGGGGAACTCAAATCAAGATTACCCTTTTGCTGCAGGATCCTTCTGAAATTACATGGAGTTTGTAGCATGTGGTAACACATGTAAGTGACTCAGAACAATGCTTGGCACACAGGAAAAAACACACAAAATGCTGGCTATTGTTATATTTGGTAACCCCCTCATCACTAGATGAAAGTAAAATATCACCTGATGGCCTTTTCAACTTCAATTCTAGGAATGATGTCAGACACATTTTGAGGCGCAGTGACAAAGAAATTAAAGGAGATTCTTGGTTTCAAATCAGCCACTCGCACATCCTCCTCCCTGTAGAGAAACAAAACAAACATCTTCACTTGTGGCACAGGAAACACAACAAAGAGAATGAAAACCTTCCCTGCTGGTGAAAAGGAGATTAGAGAGAGGATCACAGGGTAGAGAGGCATGGCGGAGGACAAACAATGGGAGGATGGAATTGTCAAAAAAAAAAATTAATGCTGCCCAAAGCACATGAAATCAACTACATAAAAACCGTGATATCAAGTCTTCACACTATTTGTTCTGCCTTCATATAAAACCCACAACTTTTTCAATGATAGAAAGATTTCAAACTGAAAACAGCAGGAGAATCAACGAATGATAATTGGTGGCCCAGGATTGTGGCAAACAATGTGATGGGCAGAGATGGCTCAGGACCACACAGAGACTTAAACCCACAGCTTGGTCCTACCCAGCAGAAAACATCATGTTGCACCCGTGGATGAAGGTAATGAGCGGGGTCTACCACATGATGTGACGAGACTGCTCTCATAGCTGTCAAGTGGTCCTAGCACGAAATAAGATAGATCCCGTGGCTCATAGTCCTTGAGTGACTGCCCATCTAACTCAGAATAAAAGCCAAAGTCCTTAGAATGGCCTTCAGGACCCACATGACCTTTCGTCTTTCCCTCCTGCCCCGATGCACTAACATCATCCTGGCCACATCTCCACTTATCTTCTAATCTGCTCTAGACACGCTGGCCTCCTTGCTGTTCCTTCAACAGGCTGAGGATAATCCTTCCTCAGGGTCTGTACCTGCTGTTTCCCCAGCTGAGACACTTTCCCCATTGTCTGCATTGCTGGCTCACTCTCTGTCTCTCTCTCTCCTGCTTCATATACTTGCTCAAATATTAGTGATGACTTTTCTGACCATTTTGGTTAAAATTGAACTCCCCCCTGCCCAACACATACACAAACACATACACACACACACACACACACACACACACACCAGCCCTCCCCAGACCCTTTTTCTTATATTTTTCTCCCTAGCACTTAGTGCCTTGTAATTATACTATATTTCACTTACATATTACACAGACACACACACAGCATACATACAAGATTATAAGGTCAATGAAGGCAGGGAGTTCTGTTGTTTTTTCTTTCAGTGCTGTGGATGTATGAGAGCATTCTGAGAAGAGAGTGACAGCTGTTTAGTAAGAACAATACTCTCACAATCTGCAAGTCAAATAAGCCACAATCAGCCTCTATGGAGTCACCCAAATTCCAAGACACCAAAGAAGAATAAGTTACTAGGAGATTTTTATCAATTTCAGTTGAAGAAAAGTTTAGGTAGAGTATCTCCTCAGACTCAAGAGTTAGAGAAATCCTGGTTGGAGTAACTTGAGAACCCAGCAAATAAACTCACCCAAAAGGAATCATCTGATTTTTGACTTTTAAAAAATATTCTCTCATGGCATATGCAACAGATGACCGGAACAGGTACATTTCATTGTCGTTCCATTTATACTGTGAATTCAGAAGAAAGGCCGCTCAGCTGGACTCCTAAGACACATTTATAATCTGATATCTTCAAGAATGATTCTTAATATTCCAGAGATGCTTGCTATTCATTAAGTCAGTGACCTTCAATGGGAGTGTGCATCCATATCACCTGAAGGATTAGTTAAAACATTGAGTGCTGGGTCCACCCCTAGAGCATCTGATTCAGGAAGCCTGAGACGAAAGCCAAGAATTTATAACTCTAACAAACTCCCAGGTGGTGTTAATACTGCTGGTCAGGCAACCATGCTTTAGGAAACATTGGGTTAATGAGTCCTTTTACTTTAGTCTGGTGTAAACTGAAATTAACACCCTGAGTGTAAGTTTACAGACAGGAGTCCAACAAAAGTTGTGGGGTTTGTAGTAAAATGTCTGTACATTGTGGACAAACTCAGTTTTTACTATTTTTATGGTAAGTCCTCTGAAATGTACTTATCTATAAGTGTAAAAGAAAAACTTAAAGTTCAAATAAAAAATAACTCTTTGTAAACAGCAAGCTAATCTGTTTGTGCTTGTTTTCCAGTGCTAAACAAATAGCTTATGTTTGGCTAGCTTTTAAAGACTTGAAAGCATTCACTCTTTCCTCCAGTAGCTGGCAGTAGGAATCAATAAATGGCACTAGTTTTATGCTTCTCCTTTCCCTTTAAAAATTATATTTCATAAAAGAATTGTTACATTCATTTCAGCTTGGTTTCATCCAGGTTTGGGGGGTTCCTTTAACAATAATATTAATATTATTACTAATAACAGTCTGGCTACTATTTCTATAAATATAAAATATAAAAGATTTTAAAGGCTGAGTTCTCAGAATAATGCCATAGATCCAATTGGACTTCACTAGAAATAGCTTGAACTGAGCACATATTCTAACCCTGATGTACAGATGCACTAAATATATGATCTCGTTTCATCAAAACAGATTGTTTCTCAGTGAATTGGCCTCAGAACATTACACCATCAAACCCTCTGAACACTATTTACCAACCTTCACTGCATGGAAAAAGAATGAGTATAACTGTCAAGAAAAAAGATAATTGAAAAAGATCCTGATCTGCCAAGACTAATATTTATTAAGTCAAGGAAGAGCTAGTAAAAATATGACAGAAATAGTCCCACGATCACCCAATGATCAAGAAATAAGAAGTTGAACTCTTACAGATTGGAAAGCAATACTCTTCCATTTTCATTTTTTCTTTCTTGAATGTTTGTTGTTTTACTCCTATTTATGTTTTGATGTCTTATCTATGAAAATTATACTAAAAGTATTGTTGAATCTTGGACAATGTTTAATTTTTCAGGAAAGGTAAGAGGGTAGAAACACAATCTTTGGATCTATCCAATGCAGACAACAATTTGCTGTTACATCTTGGACCAGTAGTCCCAGATTGACTTCTAACCCTGCAAAGCCTTCAGGGTGCCATGCCCACTCTCAGGCTTTTGAGCCCCATTGACCTGAGACTACTCTTTCCTCTCCTCTTTCCCAATCAAAGCTATTACTTCCTCAGACTAGATCACCTGAGACAGGTGTTAAGGAGAGAGCAATGGCTAAGTAAATAATTCACAAAAAGGTGTAAATAATATAATTTCCTGCAAAATATTTTGTTACTCCCAAAATGCATCTCTCTAAATAAGTGGTTCTTCAAACTTTGCTGTGACTAGAATCACCTGGGGAAATTTAAACACTCTTGATGCCAAACTCTTGACTCCATACCCAAAGCAATTAAATGAGAATCTCTGAAGGTATATAACCCAGGCATTAGTATTTTTTAAACTTCCCATGTGACTCCTCTGTGCAACCAAGTTTGAGAAGCAGTGTTCTAAATTAGAGCTTCCTGGTCTTGATTGTATGTACAAATCACCTGGAGACTTGCTAAAATGCAGATTCTGATTAAGTGGTCCAGGGCTAGGCTTGAAATTATGCATTTTTAAGAAGCTTCCAGGTGATTCAAATGCTGCCTGCCCATGGGCCACACTCTGAGTAAAGCCAGGATACAGGTGATTGACTAAAACAAACAAACTAAAAAAAAACTAACTACTTCTTCTAAAATCAAACTACCTTTCAAAATATAACCATGTTCTCTTTCTAGAATGAAAGTAATGATGACAAGAGTCAACTGAAAGGATTGGTATTTGATATTTAAGGATTGATACAGATGTTTTCTCATTGACGTTCATAACCCCTTCAAGGTAATAAAAAGTAGGAATAGCTTATCCAATAAGGAATGGGTTGCTTTAAAAACCCACAGCCAATGCCAGAATCTGGGACTTACAGTTTTGAAGAGAACCACATGGCCTCTCCTCTTTCAGATCACACTGAAATGGGTTTATTGTGTCCTATTTAAGTGAAGACAGTGCACTCAAAAATAATGAATTCACTGCCCAGAATACTCACTGCTTGATCTCCAAGAGCTGATTTTAGGCTTATCCTCACTTTGATGCTTTGGTCAGTATCTGATTAAAGAGAAATCACAGACTGCTGATTACAGATGACAGATTGCCCACATGTGCTTATTTCCTTTTCCTCCCAAGATCCCATTAAAGTGATAGTAAAGGGATCTTGTAAAGGTTCAACTGACTTTTGGAGAAATGATGAAAGAGGGGTAACTGCTTTATGAGGGACAGGAAGCCATGATCTAATGTACACAGAGGGAGCACAGACCCACAAAGAGCCAGAGAATCCAAAAGAGGGTTGGAATTCAAGCACAGGTGAGGGTAGGAAAATAATACTGGGCTGAAAACAAGAGGAATGGAAGTCAGGGTGTGGTTAAAACCACTTTGGAGAATAGTTGATCCTCCTACCACATGTGCCCTCATCTAGACAGTCACTTGGAGGCTGTGCTTCAGAAAAACAAGAGGTAATCCAAGAAAGAAGAAGTGGAATCTAGGAAGCAGTGGGATTCAACCCAGGAGAACAACAAAGGTTGGGACAGGAAGATGTAAGACTCCAAGAGGGAAGTCTCTAGGGGAAAAAAAGGAGACTGAAAAGAATAGACATGTTGAAATCGTTGGGGAAAAAACAAATACAATGTAACTAGCAAATTAGGTAAACCAAAAAATTCAGGCAAGTAGATACTTTGGGACAAACAAAAAGCCACATAAGAAAGGACACAAAATAGTACATTACGTGGTTCTTCAGGCATAATGATGTAAACATTGAAAACTGTTTTATTAAAAATCATGATAAGGCCTTATTGGAAGAGCAAGAAGTTGAAGTGGAAGGGTAGACCAAAGCAAAGGTTTAAAACTGAGCAATAACAAAATAGCAATGTAAGCAAATTACTTAAAACATGAAAGCGACTGCCAGAAAGAAGAGATAATAGCATTAAAATGGTATTTGGCCGGGCGCGGTGGCTCACGCCTGTAATCCCAGCACTTTGGGAGGCCGAGGCGGGTGGATCACGAGATCAAGAGATCGAGACCATCCTGGTCAACATGGTGAAACCCCGTCTCTACTAAAAATACAAAAAATTAGCTGGACATGGCGGCACATGCCTGTAATCCCAGCTACCCGGGAGGCTGAGGCAGGAGAATTGCCTGAATCCAGGAAGTGGAGGTTGTGGTGAGCCGAGATCGCGCCATTGCACTCCAGCCTGGGTAACAAGAGTGAAACTCCGTCTCAAAAAAAAAAAAAAATATATATATATATATATATATATATATTTGTCTTTGGAAAGCAGGATTCAAGTGCAGTTGGTTGGAGACAGTTATAATCTACATTTAAAAGATGAGACTAATAAAACAGACTTGAAAGAGTGTGTGCATGTGCATGCATCTGTGTGTGTTTGGCTGTACAGTTGCTTTCACCATGTCTCATACATAGGTGCTCGACAAATGTGATTTTTCTCCTATAAAACGGCAACTGTCACCATAGCAGAGAAAGAAGCAGGTACTATAGAGAGAGAAAACATTCTCAGCTGTGTCACAAGTCCTCATGAGACAGGGACCAAAGGAGACTAGAGAAAGTAGACAGGGAATGGGTGTGAAACTTGTCAAATGGGTGTACTCACATGGACTCCAGTTGGTACTCCATCCCACAAAAGAATTCTTGTTCTGGTCTTTCAGCCAGGTAAACAAGGGCTCAAAGTAGTTGAGCAGAGGTCTTACATCCATATTCTTTGCTCCTACAACATTTTCCAATGCTAGGGTCCAGGGTTCTGATTTTCCAAGCCTCAGCATATTGCTACACAAAAAAGAGGGGTGTTGGGAGGAGGTGTTGACGTGTGTGTGGTGGAGTATATGTTGTTTGCTGGGAGGCAATGGCAAGGAACACCGAGCCATCCCCAGGCAGAAGACTGCTAGAATAGTAGGCAGTATGTACCGGTCATGCACTAGTTAAACCAGCTCCCAAAACACAGGATATTTGACCTTGTCCCCATTGCTGACTCGCTAAGAGTGCTTTCCAGCTTATTTCTATTTTAATAGTGAACAGGCACTATCTGCCTGTTTAGTCTATCTTTATTCTATGAAGAAACACTGAGCACCTGCTTTTAAAAATAATCACTTGTTCACAAGGAATAAATATGTGGGTCAGAGTCTGCTCTGGGCTTTTAGCTGGGAAATGCCGTCAGTTCCCTGATGGTCCCACTTTGATCCCACTTTTGCACTCTATTTGTTTCTATTTATCAATTCCTTCAGCACCACCTGGGTTGGGGTCTCTACGACCAAGCTGGTCTCGGCAGAGAGGGTTCAGGGCCTTTTGAGGGATTCCAGATGTACATGTATTTACATCTATGATCTATGGCTTCTCTTTAATTTGGCTAAATTTGCTCCTGGCAGATAAGAAAATAATGCATATTAATAGATATATTCCTCCCTCAACTGCTCTTTCCTTCCAATTACCACAGAGAGAGCTGTAGTTATGATAGGAAGAAAAGACGTGGCCCATCCAATTGTTGCATGGTCTAGGTTCCTTTCTGACCACCAATTAAGTGTTTGGTTTGTAAATGAGGACATTTTGAGGCCAAAAAATTTTCTTTTTGGAACAAAGAAATCAAATTCAAACCTAGGCATGGAAATAAGTAATAATGAATACTAGGGGAAGTTCAACGTTTTGAGGTATTTCTTACAGCAGTTTTTGTCCAGCTTCTGTAGAACTTGAGATGTCACATTTGTGCAGAGGACCTTCATGTTTAGCTGCTTGACAAAGTGCTTCTTGAAACTGGAATTGGTAAAGGGTCCTTGTGTAATATCTGTACAAGAGACAAAGAAACAAAAAAGCAGTCCCGTTTTATTTACCATCTTAGAGTCATAGATTGGGGCATATATTTAAATTCTGGGACCCAAGTAACCAAAGAGATACTGATCAAATCTCTTTCTCCAGACATTAACGCTATACTCGTCATAACCTATTTGCGTTTTATGTACTCATTGATGAACATGGCAATATTATTATGTTAAATGTTAGCTCACATTTGTTTTGCGTTTTACAGATTAATAGCCCTTTCATATAGATAATCCGAATCCATCCTTATAACAGGTCAGTAACATTGTTTTCATTTGACAAACGGTCCAGCAAATTCGAGGACTGGGGTTACTAGGTGAAGAACATATGTTTTTGGACTTCGAGTTAAAAATTTTCTTTATAAACTGCCAATAACAAGAAGATAACAAAACTACGTTTTATTTCTCCCAGTGATACTATTGATTTCTCGATGAGAGGAACAAGATCTCACACAAGTTTAATTTAACCCAATAAACTGTGTTAGTTTAAATTGAATTGAAACTGATCATCTATACAGACAGTCCCCAGCTTACAATGGTTAGGCTTCTGGTTTTTTACTTTACAATAGTGCTTTCAGCTGTGTATGTTAATGGTCAGTACCATTCTGTTTTCACTTTCAGCACCGTATTAAATAATTAAGTGAGATATTGGACACTTTATTATAAAATAGCCTTTGTGTTAGATGATTTTGCTCAATGGAAGGCTAATGTAAGTGTTCCAAGCACGTTTAAGGTAGACTAGGCTATGCTTTGGTGTTCCATAGGTTAGGGGTATTCAGTACATTCTTAAGGTATTTTCAACTTATGATGAGTTTATTGGGATATAACCCCATTGTAAAGCAAGGAGCATCTGTATTGAGCTTCGTAGTTATGGGTAAAAATAGAAAAATTATAATGATCACTTCATTTTTCCCTGCTTTTTGTCATTATTGGCACAGCTGTCCACAAACCCTAGAGGTTAAACAGAAACAAGAAAACTGTAATTTACCGAATGAATGAGTAATCATTAGAAACATGGAACAGAGACGCGGGGTCACAGTATGTTTCATCATGGGGCACAGGTTCCACCACCCCAACTATCTCTCGCCTTTGGAAAGAAAAGAAGACAATACATTAGCTGTGGATCACCCATCACAAGCAGGTAAAGTTGGGCATAGCTAGTGCAGTTTTATCAATCATTTTTCTTTTTTTTTTTTTTTGAGATGAAGTCTCACTCCATCTCCCAGGTTGGAGTACAGTGGTGCAATCTTGGCTCACTGCAACCTCCACCTCACGTTCAAACGATTCTCCCACCTTAGCATCCCAAGTAGCTGGGATTACAAGTGTGCACCACCACATCTGGCTAATTTCTGTATTTTTAGTAGAGACGGGGTTTCACCATGTTGGGCAGGCTGGTCTCAAACTCCTGGCCTCAAGCAATCCACCCGCTTCCACCTCCCAAAGTGCTAAGATTATAGGCACCACCGTGTCTGACCAATCAATGGTATTTATATTGGAATAGGTTGTCGGGTGAAATAGAAACAGTGTAAAAAAATCAGACAGTAGGGCTCAGTATGTGGTTATCTCTTAGTTTTAATTAATTCAGCCAGAATATACCTTGGAAAATGGCTATGTCTTCCAAAGAATAATTTAATAAAATTCATAAAGTGCATTGCATGTCCAAAAATGTACAGTGAAAACCCTAATAATTCCTCTCAGGCGCCACAGTCCATGTACTCTTGGCAGACGGAATTTAATAAAATTGAAATCTTACTTATTCTCCAAGCCTACCTAGCTCAAGCATTCCCTCCTCTGTGAAGCCTGGCCCTGATCCCATCCACCTTCTGGCAGAATTAACCCCTCTATCTCCCTTAGCCTTCTCTAGTTGTGCCTCCTTTGCCATTTATCTCCCCATTTTGTAGTTATTCACCTATAGTAACTTCTTGCCCTACAGACTTGAGCTCCTAGAGGGTGGGGCTGTGTCTTGGTCTTCTCTCTAATTCCAGTGTCAAACATGGTGCCTGCCACTAAGGAAAGAAGTCATTTATATTTGTTGAACAACCAAAGGAGCAATTAGTGCATTAATGACTCACTCTAAGGATCTGATTCCATGTACCTTTAAAATAAGCTAAGAGGGATCAAAAGATTAATCTAGCCAGAAAAAAAAGTAGCAAAATCGTGTATTTGGCATTGTTTAAACTGAATGCATTTTTCCTTTAAAATTGCAGAATCATTGTAGACATAACTTTAGTAATATTTAAACACTAGAAACAGTTCTTATAGGTGCTACCTCTTTCCTCTCAAGTAAGACTTATGTTAACAGAGAGAATCTTGACAGAAGAAGGGTACTGTTTTAAACCTGTGCATGTGGAACTGCTTGTTACACATGAGTTCTTCACTTCAAAAAGAAAACATAAGAAAAACAAAGAAAAAATAATTGACAAGGGTCTAAGATGGTAAAAGGTAGATTTCTTTCTCCTTTCCATTCTCTCCCTCCCTCTCTCCTTTCTTTCTTTGCTTCGTTTTCTTTTTCTCTTATAACTCTTTCATCCAAAAACCTATTTATTTCATACTTGCATATAATAGGCACAGTGTGAGGAACTTGTGACACAGCAAGGAGTAATGTAGTGCTACAACTATGGAAATGGTCACTGTTGCCCAAATGTTTCAGGTTCTCTCCAGCTTGGAATTCTCTGTGTTCCCCTCCACACCCACATCTTTCTCAGGTCTTAAATGCCTCTCCACAACTGACACTCTCAGTTGGGCTTTGTATGTACCCTGGACACTCATGGATCCTGTACCCTCCCATCACAACACTACACATTGCAGTGGTGTAATTTTCCACATCCTGCCATAAACTAAAAGTTTTGGGGGGTCAAGGACCATACCTGAAATTATTAGCATTGGATCCCCAGTGCTGTGCCTAAAATGTGGGGTCAGCATTTTTGTTTAAAAGACTGGATAAAAGAATATGTAAAATGAATAAACTGATCACTTTCAACATAATATCATGGTTTAATGAGTGACCCAATCATTAGAAAACATTTTACTGATTGCATATTCATTGACTTACTTCATTTCCCACCACTTTTTCATCCATTGCTCTTTGGGAATTTCACCCTTAAAGACCATCCACCTCCACTTCTCCAACATGTAAGTAAATGGCAGAGTCCCAACAATCGTGAGTGCTTGTTTGAGCAGGAAGTTTATTTCTGTTTCTGAAAGTAAAATGGAAAAGGATAAATATTACGATGAAGATGACAGTGTATGTTTTGTGTTAAAGAGAATTTTCCTAATCTCAAAATGTTATTCCTCAAGATATACTTACTATAAGGATAATTACGTGAGAAAAATTGACAGTACACATAATGATATGTATATATTTATTTTCTCAGCTAAGAGATTTGGAGTAGGTTAAAACCCTGGGACAGAACAGGTAAATAAAACCCCAAAGTTACTTCTAATCCTCATTTTCTTCATTAGTTTCTGTTTCCTCCCTTAAATACCTCTTATCAGAGTTCATTAGAGCTATTTCATCTACTTTCCCAGTCACACTGTTTGTTCTGGAAAGCTCCATGAAGTCAGTGACTGTTAATGTCTCATTCGAGACTGTATAACCTAGTCCTGTGTCTGCTATGTGATGCCTTCTGTGAGTCTTTGTTAAATAAACAAATACTAAACAGATTTAGTGAAAAGCCTGTAAGCCAGGGAGGGGAAATAAAACAAAAGAGCCTCCCTAGAGGGCACCATCCACTGGATGGTGAAAAGTACAATGTACTGTAATTGTACGGATATCTTCCTTACCAAGAATTTAAAATGCTTTAATAAATCATGTTGTTTCATTTTATTATTTATTAGTGACATAACGAGGCAGTGGAGCTCATCTCTATTGTGCAAAGGCAATGCATTGAGATGTAAGCAGAGGATGTTATCTACTTTTCACCTCACTGTGTCTCTAGTGTCTAGAAAAATGTCTTGCACACAGTATATGCTTGATAAATATGTTTGGAAGAAGAAAGACAAAGAGGGAGGGAAGAATGGAAGGAATAAAGGAATTTATTTAGCATTATTCGCAAATCAGGGACAGAGTCAAGAAAAAAGCAGGAGTTTTCCAAATCAGTGGTTTAATCATGTCTAATGCGATCTTTGTTAAAACAAAACAAAACAAAACAAAACAAAAACCTTTATTTTAGGTTTGGGGTATGTGTGAAGGTTTCTTATGGGTAAACTCATGTCATGGGCTTTGTTGTAGAGATTATTTCATCACTGATCTAATACCATCTTAAGAAACATGGTCATCAACCATTTTTACCTGCTGTTGGGGAATATTAAAAAATACTAAAATATCTGTTCATTGACTTGAATTAGTAATATTTTAAAATTAGGAAGCAGGTATGGTCACTGTTAACTACCTTTGTTACTCTTTTCATGGGAGGATGCTGCTACTGGTCTATAATGCACTAGGACTTTGATTACAGAAGCTATTTCAGACACGACGACAGGCCTTATGCTGGCCCCCTCCCAGGCTCTTGTGGGATCACCAGGGATCTGGAGCCAGAGATCAAGGCAAAGCAAATTGTTTGCTCAAGGATGGAGCTCATGACCTGGACCTTATCGACCAAATGCTCCCGACGGTGGAGCTGATCTTTATGTGACAAATAATAAAATGAGGGGAGAGAATACATGGAAGAGAAGAAGGTATTAGGGTCTATTTGTCCTCCTTTTATGAGGAAGAATCAAAAGCCATGGCATTCTCACCAAACTGGATCTCCTGAATATTTGTCATGTTCCATCTAAAAGGAAATGGGCTGCCTCCAGCAAAGCTGTTGAAGGATAGCACAGATCTAAGGGAATGTTAGAGTGGAAATTCACACTTCAGCAAGATGAACAAAATGTTTCAATCCCTTCTAATCTTGATATTAAACCACCTGTTCTTTAAGAATTCCAAAATTTCAAGCTATACTTTGCTTTGCATAATATTATGGAAAAGACTTTAGATTAGGGCTCTTATTCTGGTTCTGCCACTACATTGCTTTTTGACTTCAGGCTACTTTCCCTCTCTTGTCTTCAGTTTACTCCTTTATAATATGGTTTTTAGAATCTATTCCAACCCTAAAGTTTTGGGAAGTTTTCACCTAGAACCAGAGGGGTTTAGTTAGAACGCTGACACTAATGGGACAAGCCATTTCACTTCTGTGAAATTGTTTCATCATCTTTAAGAAAAAAACTTCTGTTAGACATTTCACAGGATCCCAAGTCCATTCATTCAGTTAGCTCTCTTACTCCCTTTTCAATAATACAAAACCAAAGGGTGACATGTTCTGATATATACTTAAATTTTTTCACCAGTAGTAATTTCCAGTTACCTTTCCAGTTTCCTTATACCTTACGTGGCAAAAAGTAACTATTTCCTACATAAGATAATAAATATCTTTGCCCATATCAGATAAGAACCTCCAAAGCAAGCCATGAGAAAATGTCCGTACCACTGTCTTCTTGAAAATCGGGTGACAGAAGACCAATGGATTTTAAATGCTTAGGTGTGGCTGCAGAAAGTGACATGATTTCCCCAACAGCTTCATGGAATCCTTCATTAGCTCCGTTTCTTAGCAGAAAAGGTTGTGCAGCATATGCCATATCATACTGTATGTGCCCCATCTCGTGATGAGCTGTCAGGAAGTCATCCATTGTCGTCTTTGTGCACATAAGGATCCTGCGTGGAAATGGACAAGAGGAAAATGAATCTCACTGACATTCTTTTAACCATTACAGTGGAGTTGTATGAGGCTTAGGTAGCATGGATCATCTTTCCAAGATTTATTTACCAGTGAATCGTGAGTACCTACCTCTTATGTCCTAGAAACAGTACTAGTTGCTCAATATAAAGCAATGGGCAGGGGTGAATCCTTTTCTCTTGCTCATAGACTAACAGGAAGGCAGATAAACAGAGTTCTCTGCTACAAGACTTCTGAGGCAAACTCTATAAGTGATCAGTACACACAGCCTTGGGCATAAAAATGTGTGAATGTAGGCACAGTCCCTTAGAAGCACCAAGAAGGGCATAACTGAGGATGCAATAAGCAGTTTGGATCTTAATCAACGTGTAGGAGTTTTCCCAGTAGACGACACAGAAGTTGACATTCCTAGTGCTCAATAAGAAAGCCTTTGGGGTGGGGGGACAGAAATGTGGCATTCAGGACACTACAAGCTGTTTGGTATTGCCAGGATAGAGAAATAGTAGAAGGGGCTGCAAATTGAAACTTGGGAACCATTAGCATGTAAGTCAGGAAGCAGATGTTATGGCCCATGGAGCAGGAATAGAATGCAAGAAAAGAGGAACAAAGATAAACCTTTAGAAGGTCCAAGTACCTAAGGAGTGGGGAGAGGAAGATTATTCAGGGCAGACAGAGAAAGTGCAATCAAAGAAGTCAAGGAAGTCTGGAAGAGAATGACAATGCAGAAGTCATTAAATAAATAGCATTTGAAAGACAACTCATAAATCTTGTCTAATGCTGCTCTAGCCCAATGGGATAAGAACTGCATTTGGCAATAAGATGGTGATCCTTTTTAACTTGGCAAGAGCATTTTCGTTCAGGTGGGTAGAGGGGTCATATTTCAGTAGATTCCCAAATTTATTTCATTCCACTTGGATCATGTTACTACCCACTCCAATATCTTTTGAGGCCTCCTCATTGCTCAAGAATAAACTCAGCCACCTTTTAAACACCAATATGACACTGTAAGCCAAAAACTATCTGAGATAGGTCTCAATCAATTCAGAAGTTTATTTTGCCATGCTTAAGAACATGTCCAGAAAAAAAGAACACAGAATTTAACAGTCCGTGGTCTGTGCCTTTCCCCAAAAATAATTTTGAGAGCTTCAATATTTACAGGAGAAAAGTGAGCTGGAGGAGATAATGGGTGGGGGGCATGGTAATCCACACATCGCAAGAGAAAGGGAGCAGGTAGAGAAATAGTCAATTATGTATTCATCTCATGCTCAGTAAATCTGTTTTCCTTTCACAACCCCAACCTGCTTTTCTAATTTAGTTTCTCTCTATTCTCTTTTGAAATAATTATAAGAATAACTAATATATATTTACTGCCTACTGTATATAAGATTCTGTGCTCAAATCTTGCTTATACCTTCTCATTTTTAAGTCTCATTCTAGTACTGGCATCAGTGAACAATGGCCTGCTGGCTGGCCATCTGTTTTTATAAATAAACTTTTATTGGCACGCAGCCACATCCATTTGTTTGTATATTGTCTATGGCTGTTTTCATGTCACAAGGGCAGAGCTGAGTAGTTGCAACAGAGATCTGCAAAGCTTAAACTATTTGCTATCTGGCCCTTTCCAGAAAAGGACTGTAGAGCCAATCTCTACCCTATTCAATGCTGGTGGGGCCCTGCCGAGACTTTATCCTCCATCCCCTAGTTACCTGAGTCACAGCTGATAACGGCCAATAGCTGCTCCCTTCACTGCCTTTGGCCAAATGGGGGTTATGCTCCCCCATACGGTGGGGCAGTCCACAGCCTTGACTTGAGGTGTAACCTAGTCTGTGGTTCAAGTTATGCTCCAGAGAGCTTCATGGGATAAGGCTGAGGCCAAGTTTCCAGCAAAGAGCAAGCACATCCTTATTTACCTCCCTCCCTTGTCCCAGCCTGCTTCCCTCATTCTCCTCTACCTGAGAGCTCTCCTCAATGAAGCACTTGTATAGCGATCTCCATTTCAAGCTAGGGAATCCAACGTAAGGCTCTCACAAGCCTACATCCTGGGAATTAATATTCTACTTTATAAAATAAGGAAACTGAAACCAAAGAAGGTTAAATACCTTGTCCAAGGTTGCACAGTCATTAAGTGGCACACCTAGGACTCTGAAGCCTGTGCTGATTCTGCCACATTACACAAACTTTCCTTCACGTATTTCTCATTCTAGCCTAACTTGCCAACTCCAGTACACAGGTCAGGTCCTGCCTCTCCGTATTTGATCCTGCTGTTCTCACAGCCTGAGTCCTCCTCCCAATTCTGTGTGTCTGAATCCTTCTTGTCTTTCCAAATGCAACTCAAATCCGACTTGTAAAACAGTCTGACCCTAGCTCCGATTGCAAGTGTGGTCGGTTTCCTCCCTGTTCTCCATAGAGCGTGCTCTGTGTCTCTCCTATGACATGCACCACTTTCTTCCTTCAATCCAAGCTTACTGATTCACCTACTCTGTCTTACTCACAAGAGTGAAATATGCAGGGGAAGATCAGTGTTTGATTCACATGTACATCTTTCAAAAATCTTAGCATCAAATATTTCCTGATATGGGTGCAACCATCCCCATTACCATACAATGCCAATGGATATTTCAAAGAAAGCGGATTGTCTGAAGGTTCAAGTTAGGGCCTGCTGGCAATCTCTTTTCCTGGGAAAACCCAGATGTGCTCTCCTAGACTCCCAGCCTTAGTTCAAGGAGAATTAACTTAACTTTTCTGTGCTCAGAAAGGCAGAGAAAGAATTCAAGTTAAATTTCAGCCTGCCTCTGTTGTCTCCCATTTAGTATCAGCTGTGTAAGTATCAGCCCCACTACCTGAAGTCTTGCTTCCCCAGATCCCAAGCTGTGGGGTGGCAGACTACTTTCTGACCATCTCCTGGCTCAGTTAGCATGGAATTTTCCCAGAATCCTTGAGTCATATTAGGAAGACCAACAGATGCAAAGAACTTCTCAGCCTCCTTGAATATTCTCTGTGCATCCCAAGCCTGGGAAAAGAGAACAGTGTTAATTCCAGCCATCAAAATACCTGCATTCCTAAATTAAATAAGCCAGGCACAGAAAGACAAATATCACATGTTCTCACTTATGTGTGGAATCTAAAACAATGAAACTGGTAGATGCAGAGAGTGGAATGGTGGTTACAGAGGCTGTGTGGTTGGGGTCATGGGAAGATGATGGTCAAAGTGTTCAAAGTCTCAAACTGGATGAGTAAGTTGGTTTTATCTTTTTGAGATCCATTGCACAGCATAGTAAATATAGTTAATAATAGAACATCGTACGTTTTGAAATCACTGAGAGTACATTTCCAATGTTCCCACTGCAAAAAAATGTGAGATAATTGATATTTTAATTAGCTTTATTTAATTATTAGACTTGGTGAAAGACATAAACTATAAGGTAGACCTGAAGGTGTAGGCTTTTGGAATTGAAAAGGCCCAGATGTGGCCTAGCTCCAATGGGTAGTTGGGCCTTGGCTTTATGAACTGTATGAAGTCCAAATTTTCAGAATGTTCTGGAACTATAAAGAGGCAGCAGTAGACATCTGCCACCCAGAAAACTATTCTGGGAACAAATGCCTCAGGAGCTGACCAAGCATGCTTAGGAGATAAGGCTTACATCAGGTAAGCTAAGTTTGTGTAACTGGCAGCTAGCCTATGAATCACTGTTAGTAACAGAAAACTTCCTCTCATATCAAAAACCAGTCAAGTCTGGTTTTTCTCCTCTGTCGTCTCTGGGAATAAGAAACAGGATATGAGACTGTTGATGGTTTAAAAAATTATTGAGCCTTAAGGATTTACTGTCTGGCACGTGATATTGATGAGTATGACATTCTTGAGCAGAATGAACCAATACCAAAACAGTGTATATTAGGAAATACATTTAACATCTGTTGAATGAACAATGAATGAACAAATAGAAAACCAGACTGAAATTATTAGGAGTTCTGAGTTCAATCCTTAGTTGCCAATGACCGTCTTTGTGACTTTGAGCAAATCATTTACCTGAGCCTCATTTTCCTCACCTATAGTGTAGAGCTGTCACAATACCTATCCTGAGTCTTAGAGATGACAATAGAAGAGATGGGTGTGAAGACCCTTTAGAAGGATTAAAGACATACATCAAGATGATCCTATACTGCTCCTCAACTGCAAAGTGGAGCTAGAACAGCTGCAAGAGTTTAGAGGCCCTTGCAACTTCACATTTTATTCTGCAATAGACCTTTCCTAGGAGTATGTTACGTATGTGAAGATGTTCGTTGCATTGCTTCTTACAGATTTAAAACTATTAACAAGCAATGTTGACAATGCACAAATAGCAAAAATTATGGTGCAATTATCTGAAGAAATTTTATAAGGCAAATAGAAGTATAATTAGGCATTCCACTCAGAAATGTAGAATTTTAGTTGAATGAACAAAAATACATAAATATAACTATAATATCATTTCATCAATAGAAGGGAACACAGAGAGGTTTTTTTTTTTTTTTTTTTGAGATGGAGTCTCGCTCTGTCATCCAGGCTGGAGTGTGCAGTGGCCCGATCTCCACTCACTGCAACCTCTACCTCCTGAGTTCAGGTGATTATCCCAACTCAGCCTCCTGAGTAGCTGGGACTATAGGCACATGCCACTATGCCAGGCTGATTTTTTTTTTTTGTATTTTTAGTACAGACGGGGTTTCACCATGTTGGCCAGGCTGGCCTCAATCTCCTGACCTTCTGATCCACCCATTTCAGCCTCCCAAAGTGCTAGGATTACATGCATGAGCCACCACACCTGGCCTGAGAATTTTTAAGTTAAATTTTAATTTTAGATTCAAGGAATCCATGTGCAGGTTTGTTACAAGGGGATATTGTGTGATAGTGACATTTGGGTTTCTATTGGTCCTATCAACCAGATATGAACATAGTACTCAATAGGAAGGTTTTTAGCCCTTGTCGCTCTTCTCTCCCTCCGTCCTTTTGGAGTCCCCAGTGTCTATTGCTCCCACCTTTATGTCTGTGTATACCCAAGGTTGAGCTTATAAGTGAGAACATGTGATATTTGGTTTTCTGTTTCTGCAGTAATTCACTTAGGATGACAGCCTTCAGCTGCATCAATGTTGCTGCAAAGGACACAATTTCATTGTTTTTAAGACTGTATAGTATTCCATAGTATGTATCTACCACATTTTCTTTATCCAGTCCACCATTGATGGGCACTTAGGTTGATTCCATGTCTTTGCCATTGTGAATAGTGCTGCAATAAACACACAAGTGCAGGTGTCTTTTTGGTAGAATAATTTGTTTTCCTTTGGATGTATACCCAGTAATGGGATTGCTGGGTTGAATGGTAGTTCTACTTTTAGTTCTTTGAGAAATCTCCAAACTGCTTTCCATAGTGCATGATCTAATTTACATTCTCACCAACAGTGCATAAGTGTTCCCTTTTCTCAGCAGCCTCGACAACATGTTCTTTTTTGACTTTTTAATAGTAGCCACTCTGACTGGTGTGAGATGGTATTTCATTGAGGTTTTGATTTTCTTTTCTCTGATGATTTGCAAATATTTTCTTCCATGATGTAGCTTGTTTGCTCTATTGCTGATTTCTTTTGCTGTACAGCAGCTCTTTAGTTTAATTAGGTCTCACTTGTCAATTTTTGTTTCTGTTGTAATTGGTTTTGAGAGCTTATAGATTCTTTGTCTATGCCAATGTCTGCAAGAGTTTTTCCTAGTTTTCTACTGGGATTTTTATAGTTTGAGGTCTTGTATTTAGGTCTTTAATCCATCTTGAGTTATTTTTTATATGGTGATTGGTAAGGCTCTAGCTTCATTCTTCTGCATCATACTTTTATTTGTCTTATAAAATTTCTTCAGATAATTGCACCATAATTTACTGTTCATGCATTGCTGAACCTTTGCTTGTTAATAGTTTTAAATCTGTAAGAAGCAATGCAATGAACATTTTAACATACATAACATACTCCTGGAAAAAGTCCACTGCAGAATAAAAAGTGAAGCTGCATAACCATATATGGCTAGCCAGTTTTCCCAGCACCATTTATTGAATAAGGAGTCCTTTCCCCATTGCTTATTTTTGTTGACTTTGTCAATGATCAGATGATTGTAAGTGTGTGGCTTTATTTCTGGGGTTCTCTACTCTGTTCCACTGGTCTATGTGTCTGTTTTTGTACTAGTACCATGCTGTTTTGGTTACTGTAGACTTGGAGTATAGTTAAAAGGTAATGTGATGCCCATGGCTTTGTTCTTTTGGCTTAGGATTGCTTTGGCAATTCAGGCTCTTTTTTGGTTTGATATGGATTTTTGAATAGCTTTTTCCAATTCTGTGAAAAATGATGATAACTTGATAAGAATAGCATTGAATCTGTAGATTGCGTTGGGCAGTATAGCCATTTTAATGATATTGATTCTTCCAATCCATGAGCATGAGATGGTTTTCAATTGGTTTGTGTCACCTATGGTTTCTTTCAGCAGTTTTTTGTACTTTTCTTTGTAGAGATCTTTCACCTCCTTGATTAGATATATTCCTAGATGTTTTTATTTTTGTGGCTATTGTAAATGAGATTGTGTTCTTGATTTGGCTCTCAGCTTAAACATTATTGGTATATAGAGAAATGTTGCTGATTTTTGTGCATTGACTCTTGTATCCTCACACCTCACTAAAGTCATTTGTCACATCTAGGAGTCCTTAAAGTTTTCTAGGTAGAGTCATATCATCAGCAAAGAGAGCTAATTGGACTTCCTCTTTTCTTATTTAGATGCTTTTTATTTCTTTCTCTTAAATGATTGCTCTGCATAGAACTTCCAGTGCTATGTTCAGTAGGAGTGGAGAAAGTGGGCATCCTAGTCTTTTTTCCAGTTCTCAAAGGGAATGGTTCTAGCTTTTGCCCATTCAGTATGATGTGGGATTGTCATAGATGGCTCTTCCTATTTTGAAGTGTGTTCCTTCAATGCCCAGTTTGTTGAGGATTTTTATTATGAAAGGATGTTAGATTTTATCAAATGCTTTTTCTGCATCTATTGAGATAATCATATGGATTTTGCTTTTAATTCTATTTATGTGATGAATCATATTTGTGTATATTGAACAAACATTTCATTCCAGGAATAAAGCCTATTTTATTATGGTGAATTAACTTTTTGATGTGCTGCTGGATTCAGTTTGCTAGTATTTTACTGAGGATTTTTGTGTCTATATTCATCAAAGGTATTGGCCTGTAGTTTTCAGTTTTCATTGCGTCTTTGCCAGACTTTGGCATCAGGATGATACTAGTCACATAGAAGAGTTAGGGAGCAAAACTTCCTCAATTTTTTGGAATAGTTTCAGTAGAATTAGTACCAGCTCTTCTTTATATGTCTGGTAGAATTCGGCTGTGAATCTATCTGGTCTGAAGCTCTTTTTTTGTTGGTAGGTTTTTGAATCATTGATTCAATATCAGAAGTCATTATTGGTCTGTTCAGGGTTTCAATTTATTCCTGATTCAGTCTTGGGAGGTTGTGTGCTTCTAGGAATTTATCTGTTTTCCCTAGATTTTCTAGCCTGTGTGCATAGAGGTGTCCATAGTAGTCTCTGAGGATCCTTTGTATTTCTGTGGGATTGGTTGCAATGTCACTTTTGTCATTTCTGATTGTGCTCATTTGGATCTTCTCTCTTACTCTGTTAATCTAGCTAGAGGTCTTCCCGTCTTGTTTATCCTTATTAAAAAACTGACTTTTCATTTTGTTGCTTCTTTGTATGATTTTTTAGGTCTCAATTTCATTTAGGTCTGCCCTGATTTTAGTTATCTCTTTTTTTTCTAGCTTTGATATTAGTTTGTTCTTGTTTTTCTAGTTCCTTTTAGTATAGTGTTAGATTATTAATTTGATATCTTTCTAGGTTCTTGATGAAGGCATTTAGCACTATAAACATTCCTCTTAACAACGCTTTTGCCACATCCCAGATATGTTGATGTGCTGTGTCGCTGTTTTCATTTGTTTCAAATAATTTTTGATATCTTCCTTAATTTCATTGTTTACGCAAAAGTCATTCAGGAATAAGTTCTTTAGTTTCCTGGTTATTGCATGGTTTTGAGAGTTCCTTTTGGTATTGATTTCTATTTTTATTCTACCGTGGTCTGAGAATATGCTTGGTATGATTTTAATGTTTTGAATTTATTGAGACTTGCTTTAAGACTGAGCATGTTGCCAATCTTAGAGTATGTTCTGTGTTCAGATGAGAAGGATGTACATTTCCTAGTTGTTGAGTGGAATTTTCTATAGATGTCTCTTGGGTTTAATTGGTATACTGTCAAGTTTAAGTCCAGAATTTCCAGAATTTCTTTGTTAGTTTTCTGCCCCGGTGGTCTGTATATCACTGTCAGTGGGGTGATGAAGTCCCCCACTATTATTTTCTGGCTAAGTCTTTTCCTAGGTCTAAAAGTGCTATGTTTATGAATCTGGGTACTCCAATGTTGGGTGCACATATATTCAGAATACTTAAGTCTTTTTGCTAAATTGAACCCTTTATCAATATGTAATCACCCTCTTTGTCCTTTTTTACTGTTGTTGGTTTAAAGTCTGTTTTATCTGATACAAGAATAGCAACCCCTGCTCTTTTTTGTGGTCTATTTGCATAATAGATTTTTTTGCATCCTTTTACTTTGAGCTCATGGGTGTCATTACATGTGAGATGAGTCTCGAAGACAGTAGAAAGTTAGGTCTTCTTTGTCTTTCCAATTTTCCACTCTCTGTCTGTTAGGTGAAACGTTTCTTCATGCTGTTGTTAGCTGGTTGCTTTGTAGTCTCGATTGTATAGTTGCTTTATTGGGTCTGTGGCCTGTGTACTTACATGTGTTTTGAGGAACCCAGCACATTTAAATAATTAAACCAAAGTAGTAAGAAAGGTGTTGCTTAAAATTGTTTTAAAGATTATTGTAATATATTTAACACTAACAATTTTTAAATATGCAAAAATCCTCTCATTATATTCTTGTTTTTACTATCCATAGAGATTACTGGCTGGTTACCTAGCAATGACAAACTTTGGAAAGAGTGATACCAACCAGTTGATAATTCCACATCTTACTGCTTAATGGAAAACTCAGGTAATCTCCATTTTAAATATCTTTCAATGAGATCAATACTACACCTGCAATTCAAGGTATCTGAGGTCATTGTAAACTGCTTTTCCATGAAAATACAGCTACATAAAAAATAAATTTCAATTAGCTTAAATTTTTTATTTACATGGTTTAAAAATAAAAATAGAAGGATGACATAAAAATAAATGAAGTTGAGAATTTAGATTTAGTTTTTAAGGGCTCTCTTTCCTACCTGTTTCACCATTTCATCAGTAACATCGATGTTTGGTTTCTGTCCAAAGGGAACTGTCAAAGAGTACAGATTTGTCCAAAATCTACCCCACATATCACCTATTTTTAAGAAAGAATCTGTTAGTATATGACGGAAACAGCAGAAATATAGACATAATTTATTAAATTTATAGACTATCATTGATACTGTAAATTAGAAAGAGATTTCTATACTCTACCATCCATGGTACAAAATATTACAAATTAAGCTGTTAGTAATTCCTAGTGTTGGCTTCAAAAGAGATCACATAAAATCATCATGCAGGAACTTTACTCACTGGTAACCAAATTCCACTTTTATTCCTGTACTAGTGTACTTAACTTGGTGACTTTGTAAACATCAAAAAAATGTTAAGGTGTACTCCAAGGCCAGGGACCCTAACAAAGAAGATGTATCTGAAAAAAGTCAACCTAATAGCAGGACCAGAATCCTGGTGCCAAAGAAATAGGGCAACAAATTTCATGAAGAGTACTCCTGTAATCTCAGCACTTTGTGGAGCTGAGGCAGGCAGACCACTTGAGATCAGGAGTTCGAGACCAGCCTGGCCAACATGGCGAAGCCCCATCTCTACTAAAAATACAAAAATTATCCAGGCATGGTGGCTTGAGCCTGTAATCCCAGCTACTCGGGAGGTTGAGGCAGGAGAATGGCTTGAACCCAAGAGGCAGCGGTTGCAGTGAGCTGAGTTCTGCCACTGCACTCCAGCCTGGGTGACAGAGCAAGACTCCATTTGAAAAAAAAAAAGTACTCTACAAATTTCTATTTTAAAAGTTAAAATCTAATAGTGATACATGTGAAGTCGTATGCTTAAATTTTAAAGAAAAACCTGGCCGGGCATGGTGGCTCACGCCTGTAATCCCAGCACTTTGGGAGGCCAAGGTGGGTGGATCACAAGGTCAAGAGATCGAGACCATCCTGGCCAACATGGTGAAACCCCGTCTCTACTAAAAATACAAAAATTAGCCAGAGGTGGTGGCACGCACCTGTGGTCCCAAGTACTCGGGAGGCTGAGGCGGAAGAATCGCTTGAACCCAGGAGGCGGAGGTTGCAGTGAGCTGAGATTCCGCCACTGCACTCCAGCCTGGCGACAGAGCAAGACTCTGTCTCAAAAAAAAAAGAAAAGAAAAACCTATCCATCATAAAAACATACGCGTGACACCAGGCTAAAGCACAATCCACATGTAAAAGACCAAAAGTGATGCAACAAACAGTATGACATGGCTTCTGAAGCATAAATGTGACCTTGAGCTAAATCAATAGAAGTACAGTGTCTAGAACAAAGGCGGTCATGGTACCATGTCTTTCTTGATGTTGGCCAAACCTCATCTGGAGTAACTGTTCGTCTCTGAGCATGATAATTGAGGAGGGATATTGACAAAGTATAGCTCCTCCAAAAGAGAGCAATTAGAAAAGTAACGTTTTAAGGAATGGTTGATAATGTATAAGATATTTAACCTGACAAAAGAAAACAGTGTAAACATGATAATAGCAATAACAGTCACTAAAATGTATTGTGCCAGGTACTATGCTGTATCTTATATGATGGTTCTTGATGACTATCCGGAAAGTCATCTCGTAGAATAGGAGTTGACATTCTGGGTAACCTCATAGCATGGAAATAGGACTAATGAATGGAAGGCATCAGAAGGGCGTTGCTTAAGTTCCACATTAAGGTAGAACTGTGTTACATTGGTGCCATGTAGCAATAAATTAGTCTACATTGGAATGAAGAAATTATCCCATCACACCAGAAAAGGTTAAGCAGAAACTGAATTACTAAATAATGCTTGCTATTGACATTGTAGAAAGGATTTCCATATTACTTTAGAGTTAAGTCTCCACAGGTCCTTTCTCCGCATTCTCTCCTGACAGACAAGGTTTGGCTGTGGAGGAGATTAGCTTCCAGCAACTTAGCTTGACTACAGTAGAAATACTATGTATGCATAGCATGAAATTTTCGAGTATTTATATTTTGTTTGGCCTCAGCTGCTGTGGTGGGAGAGGGTAAGATGGCCACTTTCTTTCATTCTTCGGTCATATAATTCCAAGCCAAGTATTTTTCAGCAAGAGTAATTGGCAATTTCCCCAAATTATAATGAACTTAGAATGAACTTAGAAAGCTTTCCCCAAGCTATACCTTTCTGTTACCCATCACCACACCCAGCCAACCAAGCTTTTTTCCTCTGACAATATGATACTAAAATCTCAAATTCCACCTTAAGCGCTTAGCCAACCAACTTAAATACTAAAAATTATTTTCCCCATTTCCAGTCTCATTTGAGCCTAGAATTCTTTCTCTAGTTATCTTAAGTAACCCCTTTACCCTTTGGATTGCAGCCAAAATGATAACTCTTTATGTACAGAAAAGTAATACAGTAGAGAATTATTTAAAATAAACTTTAGGTTGAAGAAAATGCTTTCAAAATGTGATTTCTATCATGTTACTAACCACTTACAGATGTTTTCAAAAGTTTTATGTTAAGCCTCACTCAAAGAAGGCAATCTTATTGTTAGAAATAGCAAAGCGTCAAGTACACAAAGAATTCATGGGGCTTCTTACCAAGCAAATGAGCAGGGAGGCATCCAGTTGGACTAATATAGGAAGGGTAGGCATTCATCAACTTTGTCCTCACATAGGCATGAAGATGTTCATATAATGGTTTAATCTGAAAAGTGCAGGAAGAAAGTTTAAGACCAAGAGTAGACAATTCTAATTTCCAATATGCAACACTAGAAATAGGAGATTATTTAAACAAGTAGAATTTCCCCAAATTATAATTTCTTCTCTCAAATTTCTGGAGAATTTGAAAGCATTCCTTCTTCCTAGATATTGACAATAACTAGCTCCACTGCATAAATCAACAAACATACTTGAAGAACACAGGTCCCAAAATAAAAGCAGATGCAAAAAGTATATATTCATTTTTAAGATTGTTTTTACTTTTATGTTTTAATTCTTCCTTTGATTTCAAATTGAGGTATAATTTACATACTATAAAATACACTCATTTTCAAGTGTGTAGTTTCGTGAGTTTCCATAAATTAAAACTACTATGAAACCATCACCACTATCTAGTTTTTCAACACTTCTATAATCACAAAAATTTCCTTGTGCCCATTTGTAGTCAATTCCACTCCTACAGCCAGCCACTCTGAGTATATCAGAGTCTGTTTATCCATTCACTAGTTGAAGCACAGCTGGGTTTCCAGTTTGGGGCTTCTATGAATATTGCTGCTATGAACATTTGTGTATATCTTTCTATGGATAAGAATATATGTTTTCATTTATTTCATGTAAAAACTTAAGAGGCATGTGGTAAGTGTGTGTTTAACTTTTTAAGAAATTGCCAAACTGTTTTCCGAGGTGACTGCCCCATTTTACATTTCTTCCAGCAGTGTAAAAGGGCTCCAGCATCTCCACATTTGCCCCAATACTTGGTATTGTCTGTCTTTTTAATCATAGCTATTTTGGTGGGTGTGGAGTGGATTTTCATCATGGCTTTAATTTGCATTTCCCTAATAACTTTTTATTTGCTTATTTGCCATCTGTGTAATTTCTTTGATGATGTACTTATCCAAGTCTTCTGCTCATTTCCTTTTTGGGGAATTGTTTGTCTTACTTCCATTTTTGATACCTCTGCCAAACTATGGCTGTGACAGAGTAACTCACATCAGAAGTTTGAAGGTGCAGGTAAAGGGGAGGCATGGGGCCAAAATGAAGGGAAAACATCCATGGGACATTTCTGTTCACAAAACTCTCTCTTCCCTGTGAAGACTACCTTACTCAAGGTAATAGTATCAATTTTTCTGAGGAAGAGAGCAAATTCTATAGCTCTGCTAATACAGAAAGACAGTGCCAGCCCCAGGTAGCTCAATAAGATCATTCCTACTTATAATTTAGAAGGCCATTTCTTCTTATAATAGTTCATTCTCATAGTCTTTCTATTGTTAATTAATGGTCAGTGACTGAAAGGAGCAGGAAAGCAGACAATTCTGAACATCTGTAGGGGCTGTTCTATTATTCTTTAAAATATTTTCAAACTCTAATATTCCATTACTTTATGAGGCCTGGGAATGGCTGACCAATGTGTTAAGAACAAGCCAGAATGCCTTTAGTCACTGTCCCTCTTTCCAATACACTGCCCCTCAACTGTTTGTGTGTACAGTTCCTTGGTTACCTCTTCAAAGGTGCGTTCCACATCTTCAATCAACTGGTTGCGGTAGTAGTCATAGCCATCTACCCCATTTACTTCATAGTCTCCTCTCCAATAATCCCCATAGTCTTCATAATCTGTTTTTTTTTTTTAAGAGAAAGGGAAGAACAGAAGGGAAAGAAAGAGAGAAAGCAGAATATACATAGATTAGCCTTGCTGGGAGGTTAAAAGAAATGTAAAGACATCTCATTTTTATTGTGATAAACATCAACTCAAAGGGATGCCAACAAATAATAACATCTCTGTTTAAGCACTTGCTTTGCACCAGGAGTTTAAACGTGTTACTTTATTTAATAAGCATAAGAACTCTATAAAATTGTAGTTATTACAACTTCCTCTGTGCAGAGTAGCAGCCTGTTTATTTTTAAATAAATTTTATTGTGTATATTTAAGGTGTACAACATGATGTTATGAGATACATATATAATAAAATGGTTATGATAGTAAAACAAATTAGCATCTCCATCATTTCATATAGTTAAGCATTATCTTCCCATGGAAGTGCAGCTAAAATCTACTCATTTTGCAAAAATCCTGAATACGAAGCACTATTATTAACTATAGTCCTTATGTTGTACATTCGATTTTTAGACTTGTTCATCCTACATATCTGCTACTTTGTATCCTTTAACCTACTTCCCATATCCCAGCCCCCTGCACCTCACCCCTGGTAATCACTGTTACTCTTTCTCTGTATATTTGGTTTTTTTTTTTTTTTTTTTAAGAATCCACTTTTGAGTGAGATGATGCCATATTTTCCTTTTTATGTCTGGCTTATTTCACTTACTATAATGTCCTCTAGGTCTATCCATGCTGAGGCAAATGATATTGTTTTTAAAATGGCGATAAGCAATTGTCTCCAGCTTGCCTAAGCCTTAAGAATATTGAATTTAAGTGGCAGTGGAAGAAATTTTAAAACAATAAATGGGGAAAATAGTCTTCCTTACTCAACCTCAGCAGGCAGTGAATCATCAAAGCACAGTGTCAATCATGATACCATGACTTCAGCTCATTATTCTGGGAGGAGAATGAGTTAAGAGATATGGAAATTCCTTCCTATGTTAAGATTTTTATGACCACATAATTTGAGATATATACTGCAGAAAATAATACGTTTTCAGCCTAATCTGATTTTTTTCTTTCTGGGGCATCACCCTAAGGTAGACACACAAATGACCTTTGAAAGTGAACTGTGGGGGTTTTAGACAAAAGACAGTGACTCTGCCTCTCATCATGAGAAATGGGATCCCCTCTTAATCCCCAGACTCCCTCAGGAGCTTTTATGGGCCCAAGATGTTCCTGGATTACTTGTAATTCACAATTCCTGGATAATTTATTTTAGGCCTTATAGTTGAGTCTCATTCTTGAACTTCTTGAATTGTAGAATGCTAGTGCACCTTTTCTTTTTCCCAGTAATTTATTTTTAAAGCAGGTAATCTGAATTGTTCAGGAGATGATTGTTAATTGAGGGGTATGCCTGATATCAAAGGGCAGGCTTGGAAATGCAGAAGAAATAGCCCCGCGGCCACACAGAAAGCTTCAGGACCTCTACAGATCAGCAAACTTACGATTTGCTCTTGCCATTTCATTTTTCAAGACCACATACTCTTCATATAATGGCCTCAGCTGCTTGCCGATCTCAGACCTCCAGCTTTCCCAAGCCCAGAGCCTCTCATTGTAGTCTGTACTCTTTGCCATTATTTCATTCAAATCTGTTATCCAAAAGCACCCAAAGAGAAGAAAATATGCATTTGTAAAACTTTCATTTGTTAACAACTACACTAACTTTAAAGAATTAAAAATCGGCCGGGCACGGTGGCTCATGCCTGTAATCCCAGCACTTTGGGAGGCCGAGGCGGGTGGATCACGAGGTCAAGAGATCGAGACCATCCTCGTCAACATGGTGAAACCCCGTCTCTACTAAAAATACAAAAAATTAGCTGGGCATGGTGGCGAGTGCCTGTAATCCCAGCTACTCGGGAGGATGAGGCAGGAGAATTGCCTGAACCCAGGAGGCGGAGGTTGCGGTAAGCCGAGATCGCGCCATTGCACTCCAGCCTGGGTAACAAGAGCGAAACTCCGTCTCAAAAAAAAAAAAAAAAAAAGAATTAAAAATAAGGTTGGCAGACATTAGGTCATAAAGGATTAAATAAAATCTCATGATTCATTCATTGCCTTGCCCTTATAGTTCCAAAATATGTCTGCAAAGGAAATAAACCACTGAAATAACTTAATTATTAACTCGATTAAATTAAGTAAATGTAATAAAAATTTACAAGGAAGTTTTACTAAAAGTTAAAAGAGTATCTATGTGTTGAAACACATATTTGCAATAATTTTTAAAACTTGGGAGAAAAGTGAATTTCATAATCACCACTCAAAATTAGCAGCCCACCTGGTTCAAGTAATAAGCATTCCTGTGGATAATTTGGTTTACAAACTTTTCCAGTACTGTAGATGGTGCTCATTGTATTTATAATTATGTTCAACTGCAAATTAAAGATAATAAACAATGTTAACAATGGAAATTTTGCTCAAGAGAATGCTAATATAAAGATATCCTTTTGGCCACATGATTTTTTGATTCCTCAAAATACAGCAATTTACTTCGTTACCATGTATCTTTCTGTATGTAGAGAAGGAATAGCCCAGTTCAGTTTCCCCACTGTCAACTAGCACAAAGTGCTGTAAGTACATAATAAATATATATGGAGTAACTGAAATAACCAGATCTATCAAAACCCAAAGAATTTTTCTTATCTACACATACGCAGAGAAGTGCATTTTCTTCATTCAGCACTTACTGAAACTGTAATATGGTCTACACTCTGACAATCTGAAAATGAACAAGTCAAAGACCACAAGGTCATAGAATAATGAGGCAGCCATGAAATCAATAACTACTAATAAGTAACAGAATGACAAGTGCTATAACTGTCACCAAAAAGTGATGCGATAGTATAGGAGCAGGGAGAAATTAATAACTAATAACCTTGAGATTCAAGAATGGGTCCAAAGAGGAAGAAACATAGAGCTGTGTCTTGGAGAAGAAGTAGGCACTGGTCATATAGAGAAGGGAGGTAGAAAGCGGAGCCTAAAAAAATGAAAGGATGTTGGAAAAGACAAAGCATTCCCAGGGAACGGTGCAATGTTGAATGAAACTGGAGCAATGATGTTCATTAGGGGAAATGAAAGATACGAGAATGCAGAGATAAGCAGGGGCCAGATCATGAGGGACCATCTATGCCACACTAAAGTGTTTAAACTTTACCCTGTAGGTAAAGTGAAGGTGACAGAGTGAAGCAGTGCTACTCCAGGTATAATCTGTGGAACACTGCACATGAGCAAAGAGTTTGTTTCCATTCTGTGGTAAGTACAGGAATTAAGAAAATAAATGTTTATAAACTTTTGAAAACAATTTGCTATTTCCATGACATCTAAGCATGTAATCGATGAAACTAATCAAGTATTCATCTGCAGTGGATTGGAAATAAAAGAATAAAGGAGAGAGAAAGGAAAGAAGGGAGGGAGAGAGAAAGAGGTAAGGAGGTAGAGAAGGGAGGGAGGAAGGGAGAGAGGAAGGGAGGGAGAAAGGGATGGAGGGAGGGAGGGAGGGAGGGAATGGTTCTCTCCCTCAGATTGATTTAAGAAGCACTGGATTGAAGGATCTGTTTCTCCTCCTATTTCCCTTGAGCTCGACCTTGAGAGTCATTCTAAAACATAAGATAGATCCTATGCTTAAAACTTCCACAAGATCCCATTGTCCAAAAGAATAAACCTAAATCCCTTACCATGGCACAAAATCCCTCATGGTCTCTCTCTACCTCTTCTTCAATCTCCATTGCTTCCTCTCCATTGAATCTAAGCACCCTTGAGTCCCTTCTCTTACCAAACACTTTAAGCTCTTACATGCATTTCAGTGGTTTTCAGTCCTGGCTGTACATTAGAATTATCTGGAGATTTTTAAAAAATAGAATTTTCATGTTCCGCCTAAGCTAGACCAGGCTGTTTATATGTGAATTGGCAAAATTTCTCATAGTGTCCTTGTGGGGGGAAAAGAATGGCGAAACACAAAATGGATAAGATAGAGTGGATTGACAATTAGTTGAACAATTGGACCCAAAGAATGCAGAAAAATAAATGTTAACTTGTAGAAAGATACATTTCACATGGCTTTATCTTTGCCCTTTTGATGCACTTTTTAAAATATATATTCTATTGTGTTTTAGTTTTGGGGGTACATGTGAAGAACATGCAAGATAGTTGCATAGGTACATACATGGCAATGTGGTTTTCTGCCTTCCTCCCCATCACTTATATCTGATATTTCTCCCCATGTTACCCCTCCCCAACTCCCTAGCCTCTGCTGTCCCTCCCCTAGTTTCCCCCAACAGACCCAGTGTTTGATGCTCCCCTCCCTGTGTCCATGTGTTCTCATTGTTCAATATCCGCCTATGAGTGAGAACATGCAGTGTTTGATTTTCTGTTCTTGTGTCAGTTTGCTGAGAATGATGGTTTCCAGGTTCATCCATGTCCCTACAAAGGATAGGAACTCATCGTTTTTTATGGCTGCATAGTATTCCATGGTGTATATGTGCCACATTTTCCCTGTCCCGTCTATCATCGATGGGCCTTTGAGTTGGTTCCAAGTCTTTGCTATTGTAAACAGTGCTGCAGTGAACATTCGTGTGCATGTGTCCTTATAATAGAATGACTTATAATCCTTAGATATATACCCAGTAAAGGGATTGCTGAGTCAAATGGAATTTCTATTTCTAGGTCCTTGAGGAATCACCACACTGTCTTCCACAATGGTTGAACTAATTTACACTCCCGCCAACAGTGTAAAAGTGTTCCGATTTCTCCACATCCTCTCCAGCATCTGCTGTCTCCAGATTTTTTAATGATAGCCATTCTATCTGGCGTGAGATGGTATCTCAATGTATGATGCACTTTTATTTTTATATACACAGATTAGAACATACAAAGTTCCAGAGGACAAGCAACTGAGAAAGAAGAATTTCTTTTTAAATAGCTAGATATTTTAGATTAAAAGTATTTCAATAGGCTATATCGGGGTCTGCAAACTATGTTCTGCCGACCAAATCCCGTCTGCTGCCTGTTTTTGTAAAGTTTTATTTGAATACAACATACTCGTTCATTTACATATTAGCTATTGCTGATTTCCTGATACAACAGCACAGTTGACTAGTTGCAACACAGACAATGTGGCCCACAAAACCTAAAATATTTACTATTATCTGTTCCTTTACAGAAAAACAAGTTTGCTGTTGACATTGTGGACAAAATCATTCTTTGTTGTTGGGGGTCATCTCACGCATTGTGAAATGTTCTGCAGCATCCCTACCACCTAGATGTCAATAGTATCCCCCAGCTGTGGCAACCAACAGTGTCTCCAGACATCGTCAAATACCCCCAGAGGACTAAATCTCCCCCAGTTGAGAACCACTGGCATAAACTAACCGTATTCTTGAGGCTACCTGATCCTTCAAGAAGGTGACCTAACACTAGGGGGTGTCCATACACACCACAGGGCTAGGGACAATCTCAGTTTAACTCTGTATTTGAATATAATTATTACTAGTGTCTTTCACTCTCAAAAATATTTCAGTTTGAATAATAAATTATATGGTCACCTTATCTAGGCATACAGAGAGCTTTTTGTAATGTCAGAGTTACTATCTTTGCAAATAAAGGAAACTGCTGTGGGCGATATTGATGTTTAATATATCCCAAATATTTCAACTCTTGGGGTCAATGCTAAAATGTTCACAAACGTACCTGTTGGCTCTTGTCTTCTGAGAGCACTGAAGATCCATTTTGCTGAAGAGCCTGCAACTGAAGCTTGACTGTGAGATTCTGAATTTCTTGTAGTGGATACGTTTGGGCAAGTTTGGACTGTTCTTTGAAAAAGGCAAACCATTTCTCCCCAGCAACATTCTGAAATGGCATAAAAGAAAATTGCGGTTGGAATGGCACTGCTTGATCAAAGAGAACAGAACATATAGCCCAATGAATATCGGGTGAAACATTTACTATTTCCTGAGTGATTTCCTCTACTCTGCTGAAGGTCAGTGTTTAGGTTAAGAGTGACCAGGCTACTTTTGACCACTCTCTCTGGCCTGTTCCCTGCTTTTCCCAAGGGTTCTGTCCCCAGAACTGGAAGTGAATTCTCACAGATAATCCACATTGTCAGGCCCCGGAATTTTTAGCCTTAGTGCTGTGACATGGGTGAGTTGGCCAAAAATTGAAAGACTAGTGCTTTAAAAGGAGAATCCATTATAGCCCAGAGTGGACATAATGAGAACACAGCCCCCCAATAACAATGGGAACCATAAGAAAAAAGAACCAGTTCACAGTAACCTCCTAGCTGCCATGACTTTGCCCAAGGATTTTGATCTTCAGTTAGAATTCCCAAAGAAGGCTTCCCAGAAAATGGCCATTGGTAGCCATGGTGGTTTTCTACCAGCAAAAGAAATCATCAAGCAGGTGATGATGCCAGGACACATTTCCCCTCCCCTTATCTTGAACACCAGTTGGAAAGTGGACTTCTCCACACCACTCTAGTGTAGTCTTTTCTCAATGTACAAATTCATTTCCATTTAGCAAAGACCAAAATGAGCAACTACTTGGTATACTGTACTGCTACAGACCACAAAAGAGATAGCATGTGAGGAAAGTAAGAGTTCCACTCCTGTACTCAAATACCTTAGCCTCTCTGGGTCACAGTTGTTTATCCGCAAAATGAAAGTAATAATAGGACTTACCTCAAAGGACTGTTGTAAGGATTAGAAGAATTAAAAAATGAAATGCTTACAAGAGTGCCTAACATATCCCAATCATTCAACAAATGTTAGTTATTGTATTATTTATTATTTTATAATTTATTTGATATTTTCTTATGTATCGAGAAAAGTACTTGTCCTTACATTGCTTTCAATTTTATCAGACAGATAAGATATGCATTATAAATGTTCCATTAATGAAATATAAGAGTATATAATAATGTATAAATTATGAGTGGGCCAAGCAGTTTCTGTTGCAAGAAAGAAGAAATGCATGCAGGTGACACATTTGGCCAAGCCCTCATGCAGAAGTTGCAACATAAGACAGATCTTAAAGTAGATAGGAGTTGGATGAGTAGAGAACATTTTGCAAAATAATTTACCTCATTTAATTTTCTCAATTAACACTATGAGGTAGAAAATCACTCTCTCTCCTTTTTTATACATACAGAAAGGGGCTCAGAGAAATAAACAGTGGAGCTGGCAATCAGCCACCAGCATCTAATCCTGGCCCTGTGGCAGACAGACTCTAAGAATGCTCCCATGATCCCTGCCTTTGGTGGTCACATCTTGTGTGAGCCCTTCCCCATAAGTATGAGCAGATCTGTGATTTACTTCCAACCAGAAGCATACAACACAGGTGACAGGATGTTCATGTTTCTGTTATATAAGATTTTAACTTTGATCTTCATAGAAGACTCTCCTTTGCTGACTTGCAGCAAGACGTCATTTTGTGAGCTAGCCTATGGAAAGGGCTACATGGCATATAATTAAAGATGGCCTTTGACCAACTGCATTAGCTTGGAAGTAGATTCATCCCCAGTCAAGCCTCAGAAGAGACCACAGCTCTAGCTAGCACCTTGAATGCAACTATATGAGACTTAGAAACAGAAGATCCAGCTGAACCATGCCTAGACTCCTAGCCCACAGATACTGTGGGACAATAAATGTGTATTGTTTTAATCTGCTAAGCTTGTGGTAACTTTTTGCACAATAGAGAACTAGTACAGCTCCCACAGGCAGAAGTTCAGGCATGATTGCATTTTCCAGACCAAGGAATTTCACTTTTACCCTCGGAGAATTAGGCAGTCACTGAAGGTTTTGAGTATGCATGTGACATGATGGAAATGGTGCACGGAAGTGGCAGTAATGAGCCACACAAGACATAAATAAAATAGTGGCAGTGAAGACAGAAAATAGGCTGTGTGTGGTGGTTCATGCCTGTAATCCCAGCAACTTTGGGAGGTTGAGGTGGGAGATTGCTCAAGCCCAGGAGTTTGAGACAAGCCTGGGCAACATGGCAAGACCCTATCTTTGCAAAAAATACAGAAATTAGCCAGGTGTGGTGGCTCTCACCTGTAGTCCCAGCTACTCATGAGGCTGAGGTGGGAAGATTGCCTGAGCCTGGGGAGGTTGAGGCGCAGTAAGCCATGATTGTGCCACTGTACTCCAGCTTGAATGACAGAGTGAGAATCTGTCTCAAAAAAAAAAGGAAAGCAATTTCTCTCTTTACTGAACACTCACAACCTCTCAGAAACTGCTTTTGATTAATCTTCACAACAACCTTGTGAGGGAGTTGTTATTGTCTCAACTTTATAAATAAGGGAAATGAGGCACACAGCTGATAAGTAACTTTCCCTAGGTCACACAGCTAGAAATGAGAAGAACGGTCATCAACCCAGGTGTGTTTACTTCCAAAGTTAATGCTCTGAACTATTATCCTATAGATTGTATTTGACACATTGTAGTCTTCTCTCTAACATGCAGGAGTGGGAAGAAGTGAGCTATGGAAAGAGGAGTTTGGTCTGCAACACAGACTCATCTATGCAATCCACCTGACACACGTCTCAATCCCTACCCGTCTTCACCAAATCCAGATGATTTACTGTAAAGCAAAATTTCTGGTAAAACTTTCATACCAAATCATAGGAATAATTTTACTCTCAATCTACAGAAAATAACTCATAATCTCCCAAAGGTCTCAGTCTTAGAACACTGTTTATCACACTACATGTGGGAACGTTGAGGCTATCCGACTGTATCTTATTGATCACTACCAACCTACACATTATAATTATATCACCAAAAAAATCACTTTATGTTGCCTTACGTTTTGGCCCCTAAGGATGTATTCTTCCTTGCCAAAATATTCTTTTAATATTATTTTCAATTTATTACAATTTCTTCCATATCTTTAGCCTACAGCTCCCAAGCCTAAATAAAAGACAGCTTAGCAGTTATGTAAAGAATCAGTTCATGCATACCTATCAGATAATTTAGTGGTCAATAGCTATATGTAGGCTGAATGATGAATGAAATGAAACATGTATAGCAGCTTACATAGCCCAGGCTTGAAAGGAACCATTACAGATGAAATTGGCGGCATTCCACACTATCTCTGGCCAAAGGCAGGAGAGAAGCAACTAAAACAGTTTCTATAGCCATACAGGGAGACTTGGGAGTAAGGCACACATTGTTCGAGATAATCACAAGAAATTAAAACATTCTTGAAACCCCATCTATAACTGCAATGGACACCATATTCCCAACCTGTGAGAGATCTTTTGTCATTTCAAGGACTGTAGGTGTAAAATCCTAAACTATACTTTAAAACATTCAAAAAGGTACTCTGCTCTTTTTGGCCCTAATTATATGTATAAATTAAATATAAGATTTCTTAAGCCATAGGTCTGGTGGTCTCTACCCAACTTGTGATCATTGTATTTAAACTATTAAAATCCTTTTGTGATAAGTTGTTAGAGATTTAAAGTATTGACATCTTATTTTCTCTTTTTCTATAGCTCACCATTGCCTAAACCAGGCTATACACTTTTAGTAACCTCTAAACAATTTCTTCCCTTGTAGATGTGAGAGTTCCATGAAGATAGAAAATGAAAAACTGAATAGAATCTTTAGCATCTATCCAGTACCTTGGAGTCCAAAAATCTCCCAGGAAAACCTTCACCCTTGGCCCCCATATGCCAGCCCAGTTTCCAGATAGAGCTGTCAAAACTGCATCAGGTTCAAAGACAAAAGCTGCCTTGGTTACTTTCTAAATATACCCAGGTACTTGCATATTAAAACACACACACGCGTGCACGCGCGCGCACACACACACACACACACACACACACATTCCATTTAACAAACTAAGTAACGTAAATTTTAAGAATGTGAATTCCATAACTCAACCTTGGGATTTAAGAAATTATTTTTTTATTTACTTTAGATGGGAGATTTAATTTTTAACATTTAAAATTTTTAATATGTATGAACATTTTTATTTTTTCTGAATTTTATCTCATGGGAAAAAAAAAGTGCTCGCCCCTGAATTTTATTCTATGTGCTGCACGGTGATCTTCCCCGACTCTTGTACCTGTAGGAAGGTGTTCATGTGTATTTAGGGGCATGGGACAGACTCATTAGAGACAGGGATGAAGTTTCCTTGGGTATATACAGAATAGCAGTTTACAATTAACTCATGACCTGCTCTGAGTTCACTATGACACTATCCCTGGAGACATAAATAGGTCCAGAAATGGGGCATGCCCAAGGACCCTAGGGGCCCTGGCAGCAGGGACAGAAGAAGCTCTAGAGAACACAAAAAGAGTAAGTGTGGTAGGCGAGATGCAATGGCTCATGCCTGTCATCCCAGCACTTTGGGAGGCTAAGGCAAAAAGATCGCTTGAGCCCAGGAGTTCAAGACCAGCCTGGGTGACAAAGTGAGATCTCATCTCTACACACACACACACAAATTTAATGAGGTGGGAAGATCATTTGAACCCAGGAGGTCAGACTGCAATGAATCATGATCATGCCACTACATTTCAGCCTGGGCAACAGAGTGAGACCCTGCCTAAAAAAAAAATATATATATATATATATACATATAAGCCTCATGCACTCTCGTAATGGCTTCTGAAAACTCACCAAGAAATATCTACAGTGTCCTTGCTTTTGTTTTCTAGCCAGGAATTTCTTGATCCCGAAAGTCTTGTAAGACGACATGATGAGAAATGGAGTCAACCACACATACCACAATGGCAGAGAAAGGGAGAGAGCTTTGGAAACCTGTTTTTACCAAGCTTTTTTTCGCTTATCTTTATCTGATGGACCTCTCTACACTTCTCCATTGGCAGCTTTATGACACTGTGCTGATCAAGTTTTGATGACTTCTATTATTTTGAGGTGTATTCTCACAGCTTGGCATAAGGATCACCACATTAGATCAGATCCATAGGCAGACAAAAATAGTCTAACTTCTGCAAGTTACACCATAGGACAATACGGGAATGGTAGATTATCCTCAATCATGTCGCTCTGATAGAATATGAACATATACATGTCATTCAACCCAAATTTCCCATCCTGCATCAGTTCTTTATTGGTGCACTAATACTACTTAACAAACAACTTTGTTTGTTTGTTTTTTTGTTATGTAGTACTACATAACAAAGTCGCTTGTTATGTAGTATTATATAACAAAAGGTATTTGTTATGTACTAAATAACAAATAACAAACCTCAATGGCTTAAATGGTTATTGAAGAAACAATATTTTGGGTGGCAAAACTATGCTTTTGTTATAGTGTGAATCGTTTTTCCAAATACTTGTCTGTGTGTTAATGAGCTGCCAAAAATCTACTTCATGGCATATGATAAATATTTATTTTATGGAAGAACGTTTTTCAGATTTTGCAAACCTTCTTTGAGGTAAAAAGCCTATCACAAAAAACAAGATTAGAAGTACTAAGTGGACTTAGAAATATTAATGGTAATTTCTTTCTCTCTCTCTCTTTTTTTTCTTTTGACACAGGGTCTCGCTCTGTTTCCCAGGCAGTGGCACAATTTCAGCTCAGTACAACTCCTGCCTCCTGGACTCAAGTAATCTTCCTGCCTCATCCTCCCCAGTAGCTGGGACTACAGGTGTACACCAACACACACAACTAATTTTTGCATTTTTTGTAGGACAGGGTTTTGCTATGTGGAGTTCATTGCCCAGGCTGGTCTCGAACTCCTGAGCTCAAATGATTCACCCACCTCGGCCTCTTAAAGTTCCGGAATTACAGGCGTGAGCCACCGCACCTAGCCAGTAATTTCAAGTACTTACTTATTTTCAGTTAACAGTGCGTTATTGATCAGCAAATGTTTAACACTGGGGATTACAGAGGAAGTTATTTACTCTAAGAAGTTCATTCATCGTTAACCCCAAAAAGATAAAATTGATCATCAGAAAGTCTCATTAAAATAAATCTACACTGTGTTTAACTTAGTGAGTCAGTGCATATAATCTTTTCTTAAATAAAGTTTTCTAATTTCTCAGCACTTAAATATGGAAGGATACTGTTTCGGGGTCTGTGAGAGAAGAAATTGCTAGATCCTTGCACTTGTTAAACAAAGCGTCTGGCTTTCCCAGAACATTCTGGTATTTGTCAGAACTGGTTTAATCACAGTTTTTGTTGTTTGGTCAACAAATAACAAAAGTTTTGGTTGTTTTGTTGTTTATGTTTATGTTTTAGAAGGATCTGCCTGGATTCTGTGACCTTTGGGAGTCCCTTGGAGCTCTGTGACAAAGACGAAAGGAATTCCCAAGTCCAACCTTACCCGAGCCCTGATTAGCTTAATTACTAGTTAGTTCTTTCACTAAGCCTCCAGTTGCATTTTTCAGTTGATATATCATGTGTAGAGAATCTTTACATATTCCTGTTGACATTGTAGGCTAAAAGAAAATATTAACTCAATAACTGATGGGATTTCCACGAAATGCCTTGAAATCCTGACTGTGATGAGAATTATGGTGGTAACATTATAAAGAATAGTCACTTGTTTCCAAGTATCTGGATTGAGACCAGTGAATTATTTCGTAACAATTTCCCGAATGAACCCCAAGGTCAATTAAGTTTAGTTATCTGAGGCTCCAGAATCAGAGCTATGGAGGCAAACATCCAATCTCACAACTCAGAGCATTTCTTTGATTTCCCTTTTCAGTTTCATGAGCAGCAATCTAATCTTTAAAAAGCAACAAATAGCCCTATAGAGCCATGAGAACTCACCATGTTTTGAACATTCTCTTCGGTAATATTGGTGTTATAATTCCAAGAAGCAAGTGAATTTTCATGGAACAGGTCTTCAGCTTCATGGTTAAACTTGTCCAAAAATGTCTTGGCCTGTTCCTCTATGGTAGACTGAGCAGCAGTCACAGCAACAAGGCTGAGAAGGAGCCAGAAAGAGCCTGACATTGTCCCCTCTGAGCCAAGATCCCATTCACTGAATGACTTTCCCTAGACTAAAACCTCCTTATGAGATTTTCTCTCTTATCAGCCTTTGAACTTGGGTTGGGCACTGAGCAGGAAAGACCAAAAAAAGAAAAGAAGAAGAACACAGTAAACAATCTGCTGAACCAATATAAAGTTCATCCTGGAGAAGACAGATAATAACAGATTTTAGAATAATTTTTTAAAGTAAATAAAATAAGAAAACGTTATTCTTTAATTCTAAAGAACCTTAGCTCTCCTGTCACTTTATGGCCAAATCAAAACCGGTACTTTTGGTTAATATTTTCCTAGAAAGCTGTTAAAGATACACGGAAAATGTTATAATTTTACAGTCACCAAAAAGATCTAAAATTAGAGCTCATGAAGATAATGTTGGTGTTTGTATGGTTTTCAGATAATTTCATAGTCAGTTATCTCTCATTTATTTTTATTTCAAGGTCATATTCACAGAAACTCTCTACTTGGATAACATTTTCCCTTCCAAATACATGACTTCTCCCTTGTCTTTATGGAATTCCTATTTCTGATCAGTTTTAATTTCCATGGCCACTTTTAAAAAATTATGACTACTCTCCACTCCACAGGTCTGCTCTCCTGATCTGCCTTTGCAAAACTTAAAAAGGCTCACTTCATATTTCTCACATTGGTTCTACGCCTGACTTCTTTGAGTGCCTCCTTCTCTTTCACTTACTTATTCAAAACTCAGTCAAGGTCACGTGGATGTAAGAAAGCCTCCATATGGTATGAAATCCAAAGAGTGTCTATGTCAACCCCTGGTGCTCTGTAACCATGGGATCACAACAACATAGAATTCAAAGAGATTTCAATGATTAGCTCGTCAAATCTCAGAAGTGAGCTCAATGTCATCATTACCAAGGTATATGTATCAGTACCACAGATCAAAGACAGGAGTGCTTTAAATTGCAGCATTCATGGGCCTGCTTGACTATGATTGTGAAACTTTGACACAGAGAAAATATTTCTTCACCCAGAAAAACAAGTCTTCCAGGTTCAGGTGACATTGCAATAATCAAGCCTTTAAAAAAACGTCCACTGCTTTTCCTTATTCCAAAGTTTTGTATTGGAAAAAAACGATTATGCGTAACTGTTCAAAGTACTTTGTGTTATAATATCTCATTCGAGCATCACAAAAAACATATAGGCAAATACTTTATCACCATTTTATGAATTATGAAACTAAGTTTAAATAACTTGCTATACCTTACTGAGCTAACAAATGATGGCATCAAGACATGGATCTATGTACTCTGATTCTATAGTATAGGCTCTTAACTAAATTGTAGTCAACAGTCTAAGAGCAATAGTGGAGACATAGATAGTGGTGTGGCAGAGGGCCTTGTGCTTCAGTGAAGATGGTAGATTTAGTTACACCGCATCAAAAAGAGATGGACTCTTACTTCCCTTGATGGGAGTCAAAATATACTAGCCTTTTAAGAAATAAAGCAGTTCACAAAGTAATAATAGTGCAGAGTTTTAAATGAAAATGAGATGAGGGTAAAAAAAAAATCAGTGCAGAAATTTCAGAAACGCTCCTCTCACATTTCAGAAAGCCTAAATCCACTCACTTCTTGCACACGGTAGGAGAAAAAACAGGATAGAAAGAGGGCAGTACATGAGTCTTTGAACAAAAAGTTCAAATGTTACTTTAATAAAAGCAGAAATAAATTTCTACATAGGTAAATTCCTGAATGAAACATGTGGGTTTAGTGGAAAAAATGGGAGTAGTCCAAATTCAATTCACCGAGGCAGAAAATAAACCTGATCAAACTGAAACGGAGAAAGTAAGATATAAAATCTGAAAGCTAAGAATAGCTGGACAAGGAGCCTGGGATAGCAATGAGGCAAGAAAATGCTAGAAGCCAAGCAACTTTGAGAAGCAAGAAAAAAGGGAGAGTTGTCAACACTGATTCTGTAGAAAAACTAGCCCAGAATGCAAGCACTAATTGAATTATTGGAATTTTTGTTCACACTTTTTTAAGACCATGTCAATGTTCTGATAGTTACCCAGAAGCGTTCTCTCTGAACCCATTCTGAGAATGGAAAGAATTCACTAAAAACTCAGGGGATGAGACTCAGAAAAACAATTGGCCTAAAGGAATGTATTGTCTTTGAGAAAAAAAAAAATGGAGAATCAGAAAAAAATTCGAAGACCAGAGATGCAGGAAAGATGTTCTATTTTTCAATAAGATTGAGGGAGGAGGTGGGTTTCATAATGGTAGAGGGAAGAGTATGACCTTATCACCTAGTAAAGTTATAAATTATAATTTTTAGAATGTGGTTTGCACTTGGAAAAATATATCTCGGTCCATTAGGAATTCACTATGAATAAGTCAGATGCTGCCTGCGCTATCTCCCCTTTGATAGAATATAATAGTAAAAATATATATATATCCAAAGACATAGTGCATCTTCCGTTTCAATAAGGGATTTAACAAAATGTAAAATGCTATAACTAGATCGAAATGTCCCCTGAAACAACCACACGGTACAGGATTAGGCAGTCCTCTGATAAACAATTCATGTCCGAAACAACAAGAATCTTGCTTCAACCATTGTTCGTTGACTACTTACTATATGCCAAATGCTATTCTAGATATTGAACATAAGCTAATAAATATTGTGTTACATTAGGTGAGGACAGAGGGAAGACACATACAGTTTGTGATAAATGCCATGACTTACAATAAGCAAGAAATGGAAGATAGAGAATTATGGGGTGGGGAGAGGAATTTTCTGTAAGGAGGGCCGCGGAGAAGGTAACATTTGAGCAAAGACTCAAGAGACGTGATGAAAGTTGTGCAGCTATGTGGGTGAAGATTTTCTAGACAGAGGGAGCAGCAAGTATGAAGGATGTAGGCAGATTTCAAGAACATCAGAGGTCTTTGTGACTGGAGCTCAATGTGCAGGGAAAAGTCGTAGAAGGTGAAGTCGAGGAAGAAGCTAGGGTCACAGCAGGAGAATCTTAAAGACAATCAACTGTGAGACTAACTTTACTCTCAGCAACATGGGAAGACACTGGAAGGCTTCAAGCAGAGAAGTGATCTAGCAGAAGGTTTAGCAAGGTCACTCTGGCTGCTGCTTAGAGAATAGACTCTAAAGGGGTAAGAATAGAAGCAGGGAAACTAGTAAGTGAGCCACCGCAGCATCCCAGTCAAGCTGGTTGAATAAAAGCTTACTTTGAGCTGCAAATCCAACTAGGAGACCCAGCAAAAGGTCCTGGTCCTGTAAGTACATCTTATACTATATTAGAGTTTGTTAATATAAGCATTGGGTACAAAATAATCTAGACTATTACATTCATTTCTGTGAACCACAATTTCAGAGACACGCAAGAGAGTATCCAGAGGAAAATAAATAAGAGAGTAGATGGATCTAAAATAATATAATTCGAGGAATGGTTTAGACATAGAAGAGAAGACAGGGTGGACAGCTTTCTTCCATCATGGTACTGTCATTTAGAAGAAGACTTAGTATAGTGGATTTACTCTGTCACTTGTTAGCTGTGTGCCTTTAGGCAGGTAATATCCTCTCTGCACCTAATTTATTTCAAAACCAATGATAGTTTTATATCCATTTCGTAGGGATGCCATATTACATGAATTAATACATAAGAACACAGAGAATAATGCTGTAAGCCTAGTAATAAAAGGCACTGGAAATGAAAGGAGCTGTGTAATAATTAGGGAACTTCCACACTAGAATGTTTAATCAAACCATCTGCAAGGTCATCTTTTAAAGACATTGCAGCAGACAGAGATTGGCTGGGGGTGTGACTCAAAGGTCTATTTGGACTATAGGATCCTGTGTTGTAGGAGAAGTCTGCTAGTCTGTGCTGAAACAGCAGGATGGAGGAGCTCACCAATGGAATGAGTAGAGTCATTTACAAAACGAAAGGGGAGTCAGCCAGTAGTCTACATGAGCCCAGCCATGGAGAACCTCTCAGGGTGATTTGATCACCCAATCATGGTCAGGTCCTGGTATAAAACTTTCTACATACAGAGAAGAGAAAACTTGAGTCTGTCACTGCTACCTTGAGGAAGAAGGGGAAAGTCATAAAGGTAAATGACTCCCTCTCAATATTTACAGATGTTGTCTTGGTCAGGTGCACATGCTTTGTACCTGGCTCTGTACATAAAGTCTTCACAACAACTTTGCAGGTAGAAATAGTGAAATCCATTTTATAACTAAGGAAACCAGGTGTTCCCATGATTAATTCAAACTTCTACAACTGATAAGCAATGGGGCTATATTTTGACCCCAGATTGTCTAAGAGACCTTTTCTCTCCGCAGAGTCATGGGTTCAGTTGTCTGATAACTTCATGTATGTCTAACAAGTCCTCATCAATCTGTCATATTCTGAGAATAAGCAGGCCCGCATAAGCAAAATTAAAATATACTGCTTTGTTACACCACTTATACATTTGTAAACCATTTTAGGTAGAAATTTTTCTTCAATATATTCCATCTTGATAGGGATGTTGCCTGGACATTATTTTAGAGTTATTTTTCAGATGACTCAGTGCCATCGTCTTAAACAATATTTACTGGCTAAGCTACAATATAACAATTTCTTCAAGGCTTTACATTAAATGGCTCCAAACAGCTTTATTGCTATTAATTCTGCAGTTTCTGCACATTCTGAGTTCACAATCACTTCTTAGAGTATCAACTTTTAGTAGCCCTGCCCTCCACAAATCTCCTCCCTGTTTCTGATCTGCTATCTGCTAAAACCTAAATCGAAACTAGATAGCCACGGAGTACAACTAGAAACCTCCCTTTTCATAGGCTGGAACTTGAGGGTGGATTCTTATTCTGCTAGAGCAAAGTACATAGACTTTGAAATCCATATTTCCCTTACTGTTCAACTTTTTATATCCTTCCAACTGAGTCACAAGTGGTGAGGTTGCTAAATACCTATAGGAGAAACCTCCAATTCCCCAAGTTGGCAGATAACTTTGGTAAACATCAGAAGAGAAAGGATGTTTTGTTCAATTAATTATTGATTGAGTAATACTGCTGACAGAACCAGGAAAGGTATCAGGAATACAATGCACAGAGAAATTCAAAACTTTCCC